GTACATTTTAAATGATGTGAATTTTGTTAAAATTTAAACTTTAAATGCTCATTACAAAAATCGTACCTATGTATTTTAAATATTTTTAAACTAATATTGTAAATATCTATCAGGATAATTTTATTGAATTTTCAAGCTTTTTTGCCCAACAAATACAATTTTATGAACAATTAATATTTTATTAACATTTTATTAACATTTTATTAACCTCCTGAAAAAAAACTAAATAAACTAAAAAAATTCAAAATTCAAATTGTTTGTAAACAGCAAAATTGCATTAAGTATATGAATTGAAAATATAAACAAATGATGTGAATTTCAAATATTTGCAATTATTGGTTTTTATTATAAAAAAATAAGTAAAAATCACTACATAAGAAATTGAGTGAATATCCAATGTTGTCAAAATTTAAACATCAAATGCTTATAAAATTTGAATTCGACTTTCCGGTAGAATCTTTTTTTTGGTAAAGGCAGACAAACTTATAAGGAATCTTGTATTAAGTTTTAAAAACTTAGACATAAAAAGAAACATTTTTATGAATTTCAAACTCAAAATATTGTGCACATTTTCGTGACTTTTACTTATTTTGTCAAAATTCAAAATTCAAAGGCTTATAAAAATGTGTTGTCAAAATTGTATGGTCTATAGAAAACGCCGTTATAAATATTCAGTAAAAATGTCATGTATTTCTACGGTACCTATACTACGGTATATTTTTTTGGAGTTACATCAAAAACCAAAATCAATTTTGTCGAAAACCGGGTTTCCGTAAAAATTCGCTTTTTTTCCTTAATTTTTTGTTTGTTTTTCCTGCCGCTTTTGAAAACTATTGAGAATTTTTAACTTTTGACCCCTCGAAGTACCAATACTATTCAATTTTCTACCAGAAAAGATGCTTGTCGAGGAAAATCTAAGCACTTTTACTCTCCCAAATCAACGCGATGACAGAAACAAAATAAATAAATTGTAAAATCAATTCATTCATCGCTCCACTCGGAATCTAAAAGAAGTTAAAAAGTTAAAATTTACATAACTTAAATTTTTTAACTTGTATACACCCAGGTTTGAATAACTACAAAATTTTTGAATATTTGAACGCCTGTGTCTATTTATTTCATTACTATTTATTATTTTATGTAAAGATACCTGTACTAGTATAAAAGTATATTTTTCATAATCACTCGTACGGGGTGATTAATTTTTAGGATAGTGAGTTTACCACTCTGTGAACATTTTTGTTTTTTGAATACAACTATAATATAATGAAATATTAACATATTATAATAGAACAATGAAATATATATAACACTAAATTAATAGTGTCCTGAAACAGCTAACTTTGAATTAAAAAAAAATTATAGGTTATAAATTAAAATTGTGCCTTATGAGTAATCACTTATAACGGGTATTTCTAAATTAAACCGTATAATGAATGTCTATTTCAAGTACTTAAAAATAGGTAATAATTATAAAATTACCCTACGATCAGGGAGCAGAAAAACGACGACGACGAGAGGCTTTTGTATATTATTTGATCTCTGGCATTTTATGCATTTGCTCTCAGAAATAAAATAATATGTGTGTACATAGGGGTAGCATATTTTTCATGAAATTCATTTTTTATTTAAAAAAAAATTTAAGCACCAAAAAAGTATGAAACCAAAATTAATTACTTTAAACATCGACGTTTTCGGACTTCGGCAGAATTCCTGATATTGTGTGTGCACTGCGGAATAAATTAGATATACGACTGAACTTAAGTCTGAAAATATTGAGATTTATTATGAAAAAAAAAACCTTACGGATCGCTTCATGTTCCTTGTTCATGTCTGCAGCTTTGCTAACTGAAATTTTGGAGCGATTGCGTCTTTGCAACTACTTCGACAATCGCCACGGATTGCATTATAATTTATACTACGTCAATATCATAAAACCATAGATATTACAAATTTTTATATGCAGGAGGTCCGTGTTTGAGATTTGATCATTAAGATAATGAAATGAGGTATGACAATAACCAAAATAGTTTATAATTTTAAAATTTAAATTACAACAATATATAAAGTACCATTATATAAATAATAATTTTAATAATTAATTAAGGTGGTGTTTAAATATTCGAAGCACAAGCATATTTTTGTATGAGTTATTAAATAAAAATCTTATTGTAAATAAATGTGATTGCTACTTTTTAGATTTAACATAAAGATATTCAGTGCCCAATGCATCACATTTACCGTACATCGACTATACCAACTATAGTTTGTAAAATTCCAAGTTAAATCATTTCTCTGAATACTGTCGAGCACGAAATTAATAATTAATATTTTTTGTATTAATTTTGAGTGCATTGGTTAGGTACATTTTAAGCTATTCGAGATTATTTAAAATTTAAAATTTCCTTATTTAATTTCCGATGGATATTCAATAATCAGCAGAGCGACTTTCCCAGCTTAATAAAATAATTTGATGTTTGGTGTACGACGGCGTCACTTTAATTCGCGGTTCGATCACAAGCAGACGGCATAGTAATATTCATATATTTCTCAACATTTATATAAACTAAAAATAAAAGTTGTTGAATTTTGCGGGACATAAGAACTCCCGTGTACTGTACTACTGTAGTTTGACTAGTATGTACAACACTATTTATATCTATTTAATTGTATAAATATGTTATTATTCTGCGACCTGGATATGCCGTCGTCGTTTGTGCTATTAGCGTATTTTTTTTGTGTTGCGCGCTCGGAAACAAAAAAAATGCCCCTACTTAACCCGGGTAACAAATTGACTGTGACAATAAATTATAATTTTGAGACTAAAAAGCAAAATATGTAAGCCCCAAAAGAATAGGTAATCAAACTTACGTATACTCTTCGTATATCGACTGTTCGGGGAATATATAGCTGCAAAGACATATTATCTGGAGTGCAGACGCCATATCGAGGAACTTCTTTCTTCATCTAAACACGAACTAAAAAAATAGAGATTTTGTATAAAAATTACTTGAGTAGAATGAAATATGTGAGCAAATGTTTATTGTTGCCTTACACATTTCTCTTTTGTTCAATGAAATTATTAGAATTGTGAATCGTCTCCGACGAGTGACGACGATCGGCTTTTGCCATAGATGATAGATAGAATATAATATGTTGTTATCAGTTTACGAGTTTTTGAATTCTTTGGATGACACGATACATTTTTTATTTCAGATTCCGAAACATAATATTATTCGGAGTGTTTAAATCTAAACAATTCAGAACACGGACCTCTGCGTATGGGCCATTTAGATACTCTAATGTCCATATTTTTGTCCGGCATCTCACAATATTGTTTTTAGTCTTAACGGTTAAACTATAACTTAATATAAAACTACAGTTCAAGTTCTTATACTTTGCATTAATACAGTTGATTTTTCAGTGTAATAAATTATCATTTTTATATTGTTAAAAATTAATTATAACCTTATTAAGTGTTAACTTATTTTGTTATTATAATATTATAACAATAAAAAGTAATACGTTCAAGAGAATTCGCAAGTCTAAAAGAATTATTTTTATACTACCTGCTATATTTTGAATTCTGAGTGGAGCGAAAAAATGAAAATTTAAAAAGTGTTGGACAAGTGGGTACCGCTCTACTGTTCAGTAGTTGTCAAGCATGTCGTTGTAATGGATATGTTATAATTTAATTCAATGATAAATCATTGTATAAGATAAACGAATTTTTTTTTTTTTAAAGCACATCATTGTAAAATCATTTCGCTATGCTCCGCTCAGAATCTAATATCTAATTATTTAGAATTTGTTATTAACTTAGCTCAATGTCACCAATAAATTCTCTTCTGGAGTGATACTTTTAGAAAAATTAGTATCAGTTTTTCGAATTTCATCGTTAAGTATTTCTAGAATATAATCAAACGTGTCGGTACTTATTCGTGTAAAATTTCTAAATTTACATTCATAATTTCGATGTTCATGAATAAAACATTTAATTGTATTATTTTCAGTTCGTTTCAAGTTCAAAGCATGAACCCAAAGTTTTTTTTTTCCTGTTCAATTTCTCTTAAAAGAAACCATAAAATAGGAATATCAACGTCCTCCTCGTCGGACGACATTTTGACGACTACTTGATATACTTTGATTTGACTAACTATGTTTTATCTAGTGAGCGACAATAATGCTTTATTATGACTAAAGCAAAATGACTAAATATGACTTACATTTCTTCAGTCAATTTTGCTTTACCAGTGTGCGGTCACCCTTAGACAACAATAATTGAAAATTAAATTGTTGGGTTACCCGAAAACGAGGAGTAGGCACGAGCTAGTGTTGCTGCTATTACAGAGAGAACGTGAGGTTATACAGCCTAGAGTATTACATATGGCTAGAATGTAACAAAAATTAAATCTTTTCATTTTGTACGTTGTTCATCTTTGGGTTTGTTCTAAAATTATAAATTTAAAAGTTACTTAAATATGGGCAATGTCCAAAATACTAGCAGTTACTATTTTTTATTATTTTATTTTTATTTTTTTATGTGATACTTGAAAGAGGCTGTAACACTAAAAGAATTTTAAGTTTTACTATTTGCCCAAATATATCTATTAGATACTGAACGGAGCAATGAATGTGTTTACAATGATGTGTGTTTTTATATTTGTTTATTATTTTTTTTTTTTTTTTGTGTCTGTCGTCATGGTTTCTTGCAGTAAAAGTGCTTCGATTTTCTTCACAGCAACTTTTCTAGTAGGAAAGTGAATCAGTCTAAATTTAAAATTCCCAATAGTTTTCAAAAGCGTCAGGAAAAACAAACAAAAAATTAAGGAAAAACTGTATTTTTTCCCAAAACCATTTTTCGAAAAAATCGATTTTGGTTTTTAGTGTAACTCTAACAAAAACGACCGTAGATTTTTAAGTTCATTTTAAGTTCAAATTTGGACAAAATTTCATATTAACACAAAGAATACCTAACGTATATCATTTTGTTGTAATTCGGTCCGAAACAACCCAATTTTGCGTTGGTAGGTATATTTAATATTTTTCCAGCATCACTGATAATTTAAGAATAATATTAATTCAACTAACCGGCTACCATATTAATAATAAGTAATAACAATATAAATATAAAATATCCTAAACTGACATATCGTCTCACTCTCCGTTCAGAATTGTTTTTCGTATACAATGATATATCATTGAATTTAAATTTTATACCATCCATCACATCAACCTCATATAGACACCTAATGTACAGCAGAGCGACACCCACTTACCCTCTTTTTTATATTTAGGTTGCAAACATTCTAAGATGATTTACCTACTTTATGCTGTATTTTTACCTACACTTAAAGACTCTTTCACGGATCCAAATGAAAAACTTGATTTGTGTAAATGAAATATACATATAATGCATGATGCTGTAGCTTAATCAGGTATTAGGTACCTGTGTATTTTGACATACATATTAAGTTTAATTTAAATATTGTTATGAACTGTTAAACATTGTTACAAAAAATTAAAACACCAACTAAATTATTCATATTTTATAATATTGACTTCGATTAACAATGAGAATACATTTTTTTTATTAACATCATCATACTCTAATTTGGTATAATACATTAATACCTAGTTATGTTTGTTATACAGTTCACGAATCCATGGTATATGGTGCTTAACTTCTGTAAAAACTGCGATTGAATTGATTGTAAATGGGTCTTTGATACTCACTATTCCGGTTAAATAATAAGCATTTGAGTGTAAAAAGCATAAGCCTGCGCCGCTATCTCCACTACCCACTCCTTGTCCTGAAAACAAATATATTTTCTACATTAAACACATATTAAAATTAATTAAAAATCGTAAGTTAGTTATTTGGTATAGTAGCAGAGCAGTGGTGATATAATTACCTACAGGTTTACATTAGGTTATAATTGAATAATTCTAGATGAAATGTAGGTACCATATTATAACATATAATTTATAAGTACCTACCTATATGCACATAAAGTAGTAAAGTACCTACCTGTGTTAAAGTTGTTTGAAACTATGAAAGTGGGTGTAATATTTAGTGGTACTTGTACACACATTCACACTGTAGACTACACTCCATCCGTGGAATTTGAGGTACAAATTATGATTAGCAGATAACTCAATCAATGTCCAACTATAATTATTAGGTATATTGGTTCTTTAATTCCGGATTACTTTTATGTAAAGTGGGTATCAAATTTTCAATGGATATCTCAATCAACTACTATTCTATGAAAATTATATACCTACTCAAACCATATCAACCGCTTGGTACCAGATAGTATTGGTACTGTCGTATATTTACAGACTGCCCATAACATGTTTGATAGTAATATAATGTATAAAATATAATATAATAAAAATGCAGCATACACCAGTGGCAGCACAATATTATGATATAGAAGTATAGGTATAATATAGTTTATTTAAGCATGTAATTCACTAACATATATTTATAGGGTTCAAGAATAAAATTTGGTTTCAAAATATTTTGACAAGCAGAACGTTGCGAACAACGGCGACCCACGAAAATCAGTGGAGTATTATGTATATGTTAGTTTTAATTTAACAAAAGTCGTTCCGACAGTAAACATTGTGGAATACATTGTGCTAAATTCTAATATTAGGTACGTGCGAGTCGACGACAACTTTTCTAAAATAAATAAAATTATTTTAGGGTACCTATACAGTATACAGTATACACATTATACGAGTCTATGGGGTCTTACAAGGGACGGACCTAAAAATATAATCTTTGGCGTAGTATACCTCAGCATAAGTTAACCTGCAGTGTCGGCAAAATTAAATTTTGGATATTATGAATTATTAACCTAAAGTGGATGACAAGACGTCAAGGCGTCAAGGCGTTATAGTTTTAGCTTGCGTGTCACTTAGAAAAAAAAAGAAATAGTGTGTGGAAAACAACGTAGGTAGTCTAACTGTGTGTATACAAGTTTGTTTGAAAGATTTAAAGTAGAATATTTTGTATTCCTTGAGGTACTAACAGTAAAATATGATTCATTAATTTAATAAAACAATTCAGGTAATCGACATATTTAAAAGTGTCTGGCCTTTAATATTAAGTGTTTAATAAACTTAAATTAATTTTGTTAAATAAAATCATTGATTTCATGGTATTTATGGTTAAATATTTTTTTACCCGATGCAGTACCAGCACAAAACTTATCAACAGTCACAAATGCTTCAAATCCGTTTGTATACATATTCCGACAAGAACTATGGTTGATGTATGGTAAAGATGCCTCTAATAAAATAGGGCTTGAAATGCCTTTTTCTGTTTTTCCCCAACCGACAATCTATAAAAGTATAAGACAGTTGTAATACTTGTATAATTTATAATATTAGTCAATTTTTATGTTAATGTTGGGAATGTGGGCGTCATTTGATTGCGTTCCGTTTCAACCTTTTATACCTTTGGTTTTGAGAGATACCTTTGAAAAATTCACAATAGTCTTCAGTAGAAATAAAAAAAAAGTAAAGAAAAATTTACGAAAAATCAGTTTTTCATAGAATTGATTTAGTTTTTTTTTCATGTAACTAGAAAACTAATAACCACTATAGATACTACACATTTTTACCGGGTGTTTGTATCGGTATTACCATTTTCTATATATTTACTCCTTTTGAGCAATTATAGGCATAAGAAAATTTCAATTTACATTAGTTTTTTGAAATTATAAAAATAACCTAATAATTTAAATAACGTAAATACCAAATACTATATGTTATATTAAATTGAGCCCTTCAAATGTTCACATAAAATTAAAAATTAAAATAAATATTACATTTTTTTTTTGTGTCTATCATCACCTTTCGGGACAGTCAAAAGATTTTTACTCAGTATTGGTTTTCAAAAAAATCAATGTTGGTTTTTTGAAAAAAGATAACTATAGTCCATAGATCCATTACATTTTCACTGAATTTTAATAGTTACATTTTCTATACACCATAACATTTTCAAAATATTTTGAGTTGTATTGAACTATTTATCAGCATAATATAACATTTACGATTATTTTTGGTTTTTTAAAATTAATATCGATATTGTATCATTGAATTCAAATATAACACATCCATTACAATATCTCTAGACACCTAAGATACATTACCGTCATTTTTTTAATTTTGAAATTCGATCAAATATGAAAAAATTATAATGTTTAGAGGTATTACAATTTGAAGTTTAGGATTTTATTTTTTAGTTATGTATTATAACATGCCAATAGATATTAGGCAGAGCCAATCTCGGTATTTGCTTAATGCCTTAATACAATGCTGTATATAGTATACTAGCTGTCCCGTCACGGCGTTACCCGTGTATTATATGGCTATATAAAAACACCCTTTTACCCCCTTAGAGGTATAATTTTGAAAAATCCTTTAAAAAAAAAATCATAATAATAATAATATTTACAAATGATTCTAATGATTCTATACACACATTGTTATTAAAAAATGATTCTATAGTTAAAATTATAATTTGCATAGTTAATTATTTTGATTGTGTACATGCCGATGAGCGGCTATAAGTGTAACTCAGCCTACAGCCATCTTGTCAGGCAATGTACTAAAATTCAATTTGACGCATTCTTAAACCTGATCTGCCCGATTAATCATATGGCAACCAACAATTTTTAAAAAATACGAAGTTCTACTAAAAAATTAAGAAAGTTGAGCGGAAAATTAGTTATTAATTAAAATACAATGCAAATTGTATACCTATATACATATTGTATAGCACGGCTCGCGGGTGACTTAAGTTTGTTTAAAATGTTAAGCGTGATTGCTTGAACTAACCTGATGAACAAACACGAATCAAAAAAATCACTTTAACATTTTTCTTAATCTTCCGATTGATTTCACTGTGAAATGAACACTAAGAAATTATATAATAACTGTTTTATATCACGGATAAAATATGGATGGATCTGTTTTTAATGATAAGCGATAAGCGTGATGCCTCGACTAAAGAAAATAGGGATGTATTTATATATACATAGATAGATTGTAGAATTTTACTTCTCGGAACAATTCATATCTACACGCCGATCAAACAGATAGGTGAATGGACAAAAAGTTATCGTTGCATATCGCTATGGAAACCCACAGGCCACAGGTCGCCGAGCTGTAAAATATGTATTTAGATGTACAATTTGCACGAAAAAAATTTATTTTTGACGATTTCAAACCTTTAAAATCAAAATTTTGAAAAATCCTTTCTCATAGTAGAACTTGACCTTATAATATTAATCCATCCACAAAATTTCAATTCGATAACTCAAAAAGGTTCGGCTCTGCGTTGATTATTGATAAAGTAACTTTCCTTTATATATAGAGATTATAAGTAAGTACTACATTAATGAACTGTAATTAAATCACAATATTCATATTTAAATAATGCTACAAACAAACCTTTCCTTGATCTCCATTGATTACACTGTAATTACCATGCCAATCTATACAAACTGGTGAAACACCATTACTAAAAGAAATTTGGTTTTGTAACACAATAATAGCAATATCTTCAGCATAAAATCCAGTAAGTCCGTAATAACCATCTTTCAGGTGAATCATTTCCACCTATAAAATTGTAGTAATTTATATTAAACGTATGAAGCCAAGTCATTGCAGACTTTTGAATCATTAATAACTTACATTAATTATTTGAGTAAAGTCATTGTCAATTATTGTGAAATTTCTATCATATTTTCCAACAGCAATTTTATATAGACCATCGTCTATTAATATTCTATTAGATACCATACCCTTTCGCCAAAAACAATGAGCCGCTAAAAATTGTATTTATTTAGTTTTCATTATTTTTAAAATACATTGTACACATATTTTACCAGAAATGATTAAATTTGGAGCAATAATTGATCCGCCACATATCAAGTCATAATTGGAATTTTTTTTATCTAATTGATATATTCCAGCATTCCAAGGGACTGTCCCAACAATTGCTTTTTTACCATTGTTGATCAATACTTGATTATGGATATATACTCTACCACAATCTAAAATAATATTGTACATATTATATAAATGATAGTAATTAATAACTAATAATATCTAAAAAATATATACATAATGATGATTGTTTAAAAATGTATACATAACCAATTATTATTTGTCATTCATTATTTTTAAAACAAAAGCATTTGGATACAGTCAAATTAAATGAATTTATAAATGTTTATTTATATATAAATTGGAGACTTATTGTATATGAAAAAAAAAACATTACATGGATTGCATCTATATAACTGAGTATTCCATGTCCCATTAGACTGACAATGTAATTCAAGGGGAGTATCTTCTTGTACATACGGAGCAATATATGTTGGCTTACATGATGGCGTTGCTATTGTATTGGGTATCGATAAATTTGAAAAGTTTGCATACTGACCATTAAGCGTACATTTAATATCTAAACTATCTGATAGTAGAGGTGGACACATTTCTATAAATATAAATAAATTATGATCAACATAACTATACTTTTCTAATTGATAAATAATTAACTATTAGGTACGTCATTTGAATTAAACTAGAAAACTTACTAAAACACAATTTTTCAGATTTCGGTACCCATTTTCCTCTTCCCTGACAAAACCTAAAACCATTGGGATAAGCCTTATGATATCCAACTGCACAATTTTCAATAACAATTAGATCAGGATTAATTAATGTCCCATGAGATAAAGTTTCATTAGAACCTTCATACGAATACACGACCCCTTCGGCGGCTGGTAAAACGCATAAATTTACCACTCCATGTCAAAATCGTGTATGTTAAAAATATAAATTCTTTCTAAAATATCATAGTTTTGAAGCAGAAGTTGTCATCAAATGAAACCAAGCCAATATGATAAATTAAAAATTAAAATTTATAGCTCTAAAGAAATATACTTACTTACATGTTTGTTTAAAAGTCCACGAATCCATTGTACATGGTATTTTATGTCTGTAAAACCTACAACTGTATTATTGTATTCTTTATCCATGACACTAAGAATCCCAGTTAAAAAATAAGAATTAGAATGTAAAAAGCTTATGCCTGTTCCGCAATCACCAAAACCTACCGTGTATTCTAGTCCTGAAACTAAAAATATGTGATGTATAAGTCACAAATCATCAATCAAGTATATTATTACTGTTGTTGGGAAACAGGTTCATTGGTAGAATTTGGAAAAATGTTAAATTTTCCTTGAGTTGGGGTGAAGTGGGTAACATTTTGTATTTATTTTAATTTACTTATAAATTAACGCCGCCCTATACGGTTTTTTAAACTATAGTGTTTAAGAAATAACAGAATTAAGAATTTAACAGTAATAAACATTTATGATTGATATCCATAAAAGTAAACAGTGGCCTTGGTACGAGTTATTTTTGGTTATTATCAAATAATCAATTTGTCTACAATATGAATATTTTTATGTTGCCAATGAGACCTTGTAATATGATAGTTTCACTGTATTTAATTCCCGGTTTTACAATTTTAAATTTTTAGCAGAGGAATGAATATATCGATTTTAAAATGACGTGGAATGTTCTTTCATTATATTTTTATTGTTTTTATCTGTGTGCCTACATGGTAACAAGTAGAAATAGTACTTCAATTTTTCACTTCAGCATCTTTTCTAATGGAATAGTGAATCTAAAAAAAAATATTTATATACCCAATTTAGAACCGGCACAAAACTTATCATAAGTTAGAAGTACATTAAAGTACTCTGCTGCAGTATACATTTTTCGACAAGTAGTAAGATTGATGTATGGAAAAAATCTTTCTAATAAAACACGACTTTGTGTGCCATTTTTTGAGTCTCCCCAAACAAGAACCTGTAAGAGTATGAAACAGTTTTATAATGTACAATTATAATAAAAGTATAATATTAGTATCTCAATATGTAAGTGTCGGTAGTGAGTTCAATTGCATTTGTTGTATATGAAATAAACATAGTGTTTAGTAATTGTACTATATAGTTTTTATTCTGGGTGCTAATGTAATATCTAGCAATTGTGAAGACAACAGATGTACTTACAGCTTACAACTTATATTAAATATTAGAGATGTGCAAAGAGGCAACACCTCATTATAAGTATTTAGTTCATACTAAAATAGAAAAATAATTAAAAATATATACTGCACAGCATAATAGTCTGGAGTTACATTCCTCGGAGTAAAGTTGTGACGTAAAAGAAAAATTTAAATGAGCTTAAAAGGGGAAAAATTCATAGATATTTCCCATTGTAAGTCGTTGAGCTAAATTTGTAACTTATTAATATTTGGTTTTCCCGAACTTCTTCTTAGTTCATCCAATAATAATATTAAATCACGAAAATGGCCAAATATATTAACTTTGAGGATAACTTAACCATATCCTCTCACCACTTCGTAGACAATTAAACCTGACAACCTGCAATCTCAAATTATATTTTATGTATTTAAAAAAACTACAAACTAGGTACCTATATACTACAACTTATTTACCTTTCCTTGAACTCCATTACGTAACTCATATTTTTTGTTCCAATCGATGCAAACAGGCAAAACACCATTATTAAATGAAACTTTTTTAGCTAACACAATGACAGCTATATCTTTGGCATACTTCCCATCTGATCCTTTAAAATCTTCATGAAGGTAAATTATTTCCACCTTTATATAATTGTTTTAATTTATATTTTAAGTATTATGCATATTATTAATAGATTTTAAGATTTATTTATTTATTTTTAAATTAATAACTACTTACGTCGATAATTTTAGTAAATTCATTGTCAAGAACAGTAAAATTTCTATTCAATTTTCCAACAGCGACTTTGACTATACCATTGTTTATTGATGATTGCTTAGTTAACAAGCCTTTTTCCCTAAAACTTATAGCCCCTAAAAATGTTATTTAATTAATTTACATTCCTTCTTAAATACGTTGTTCCAGAATTTTACCAGAAATTACTATATTTGGAGCAATAATTGATCCTCCACATAAATTGCGATAATAGGGCTTACTGTCATCTAATGTATATATTTCAACATTCCAAGGTGCTGTTTCTACCGTTGCTTCATTTTGACCTTTTTCGAATATGTTTTGATTTGTTCTATTTACTCTACCACAGTCTATAACAATATTGATATGTTAGATGCAATATTAGAAGATTCATATTCTGATTAATATGCCTAACTCTGGAATCTTTTAATTAGTTATTACACGATCATATTATTAATAAGTAATAATATTCAATGTAGTTTCGCTATTATGTTATACCCATGGTCATATTTGTTCCATACTCGTATCGAGCACATAAATCTTTGTTCTCGTCTGAACCATCTGAACAATCGTTACGACCATCACAAACCCAGGACCATTTGATACACAGTCCGTCTGAACAATAAAAATCATATTCTGTGTTTCTATAATTTTATGCAAATGTGCAATGAATTATTATTTAATATATATTATAAATCATTTATAAGCAAATAAAGATGATCGAATTTCAAAAATGCTGATTGGTATACATAATATTAAACAGTGCAATAGGTAGTTGTACCAAATGCAACTACAATTATTTATCCGCCACCAGCATGAAACGTACTTAAAAATGACAAAACTCGTTGGTAAAACGATTGTCTGATATATCACAACAACTGAATTAGAGACTTTAGTCAGTGGACAAAATATTTTAATACGAAGATAAAGTATTTGTAAATTTGACATTTTTATGTAAATTAAAACAATAATAAATGGTTGCAAAACATATTATACCGCCATGTTATATGAAATGTCAGGATCCGATGTCCTTTTTGTAGTCAAAAGTTTAAGAATAAAAAAAAAATTAGAGTTTAGAAGATAAAGTTGGGTGCTTACATACCAAAAATGTAAAAAAAAAAACTTATTTTGATCTACCGTAATATAATGTGTTGTCACTTTGTCAGTACTAAGAATACGCTATATTAAATATTGATCTTATATTGATAGATGTTGCTTTTTAAGACTTTTGGGCTCTAAGCCTCGACGTCCCAACCTTAACTATTTACGCTTACTTAAAATGACATTATAATATGTATATATACTACAGTCACTTACACCGAGCAAGATGATGCAGCTTTTCGTTTTTCGAGTTTTTCGTCACACAAAATTCCTGATCCTGAAATAATGAATTACTATGCATTATTTACGTGAATAATGTTTAGTGGATTAAGATTATTATTTATTGTTTTAATCATAATTTGTAGTTTGAATTCAATAGTAGCATATGGTCGAGCATTCGAGTGTAATAAAATATATTCGTACGGTGGTACGCTGGCACTTAATATCAATATATTAAGTAATATATTTTGTTATATTGTTTTCTAAACTTTTCACTTTAAATACTTAGATATATTTATTACATTTTTTGGGTATGATTAATATTATAAACTAACATAATTTCATAAAAAATGATTTTCTATAAATATACTATAAATTAATGTATTACTATATTATTATACTGTTAACACTGTTATTACGTACCGAAAATTACAAATAAATATATTATCCAGGAATACATCACCTTCATTGCCAATGGTAAGCTGAGATTAATGTAAATATATATACAAATTTTAGCAATAAATATTTAATTATACGATATATACATACACAAAACAATAGTTTAGCGAATAATTGTATAAACTGTAATAGTATAAAATATAATATGCAACACTGGCATGTAGAGGATGTATTAATTTTTAAATTCATGCAATAACACTATTTAAAAGACGATAATACCAATTCCACTTTTGAAATACTAGACACATATAAAATCGGGTCTTCTATATTCTATAAAACTATATATTGATGATGGTATGCCGTCGATGCTGATATTATTATGTTCTTTCAAGGTATCAGCTGTCACACGATCGACCGAAGGACGCAAACTACGTAGTTTGGTGGTGGTGGTTATGCAAAAATATGCGATTTGCTAACTTGTTATTAAAATTGATTATATTGTTCTACTGCAACGTCAAATACAACTTACGATTATTCAGCGAAACTAAATATAAAAATGTGTAAGACTCGTAATTACAATTAGGTAGGTACATATTATGTATAGTATACTAAATACATTATACACAACAATTATTTATGTTTAAATTTAAATTTGGAGTAATGATTACATATTTTTTTTATATTTTATTAAATCATATTATTATAGGACGTAAATCGTCTAAACCAAACAAGGTATCCCTAACTAAGAATATGTCGTATACTCGTATACCTGTATAATTATATCTGGAACTGAATTTTATGCCATTTGTAAAGCGTCATGGATTATAACACTTATAACAGATTATATCTTTAGAATTTTGTAACAGGTACTTTGATTTGAAAACAAAATATTGCAACTTATTTGTGTGCAACTTAGAGTTTAAATAACTGGCATCAAATACCAAAATCATATTGTCCTATGTTGTAAAGGGTTTTGTGTATATATTCAAAACGAATTTAAATAATCTAATTTTCAACAACTTAAATTAATGAACAATGGTTGTTTTACACATTTGTTACGCTTTTGATAAATATTTTTTGTATCCATCTCATATTATTATATTTTTCCCCCCAATACCTAAGTTATAATTTTTTACAATTTATTAGGTAGGTACTGTTCATTAACAAAACCATATCAATACAATTACTTAACAATACAATTAATAAAAAGTAATCATAAGACTAGTAATTTATTATTTCAAATATAATGCACAATAGTGTTAATAATTATTAATAATTAATGTACAATGTATAATTTTTCAGTATTTTGGAGTTAAATAATTTTCAATTATAATATAATTTATAATGTTTTTGTACTACATAATAATATGTGTTATGAAAAATGTACATTTTATTAATATTATGTCTGATTAAAATGAATATAGTAGGAACACTAAAAAATTGTTACACATATGTAAAAACCTATTTGTACAAAATAAATAGATTTAAATTTTAATTGGAATACATTATTCTAATAACATTACCCTTTAGCATAATCCTATTGAATATAATTATATTTGTTGTACAGTCCACGAATCCATTGAATGTGATACTTAACGTCAGTGAAAACTGCAATTGAATTATTTGTATTTGGATCCTTGATACTCGCTACTCCGGTTAAATAATACGATTCAGAGTGGAAAAAGCATAAGCCAGCCCCGCTATCACCCCTACCCACTCCCTGACCTGAAACTAAAAACATTTTATAAATAACACCTAAATTATTCATACGCATTCATGTATATTGGGTACTAGATACAATACTGTTTTAACGTTTTGATTACAAATCATCTACAAATACTTTATTACAAGGATATGTGATGTAGAAGGTTAAAGGTTGTATTAGTATGAAATACATGTGGCAGATGTAGTTTGAACCATACAGTTTAGTGGTGTTTTGTACAAATATCCACACTGACGTGTATATATTTATAAAACTATGTATTACCTGATTCAGAACCGGCACAAAACTTATCAACAGTTACAAATGGTTCAAATCCGTTAGTATACATATTTCGGCATGAACTGTGGTCAATATATGGTAAATATGCTTCTAATAAAATAGGACTTGGAATGCCTTTTTCCGTTTTTCCCCAACCAACAATCTGTGAAAGTATAAAAGTATAAAAGTATAAAGTTCAAAATATTGAAATAAATGTGTCATATTAATCTATGGGTGTATTGGAAATTTGTATAATTAATTAAATCAATTCTGACTGATCGAAGTTTTTTAATTTTGAACCTCAATCAAATATAAAATAAAAATAAAGTTAAAGGGTTTACAGAAATTGTTATTTTCATTTTAACATTTTATTTTAGATTCTGAGTAGAGCTATTGGTTTCACTATGATGTGTGGTTTCTATTAATGTCTGAAAACGTCTTTTTCTAGTTGAAATAATAATTAGATCTTCTACTTCAGCATCATTCCTGAAGGGAAAGCTATACTAGTTGGTACTTTTGAAAGGTTAACGATAAAATTCATAATAGTTCTCAAAAGTGCTGAGAAAAAAACATATCAGATCACATCAGAGCAGATATTTATTACACTGAGGTATACCTTGTAACACGATAATATTTAAGCAATCTAATGGTAATTGCTCTTTACAACCAAAATGTCTTCAATGATTGGTAATATATATTTATGCATGAATTAACTGTAAGAAAATCCCAATTAAAAAAATTAAATGATACGGAAAACAAACCTTTCCTTGATCGCCATTGACCACATTGTATTTACTATTCCAATCGATACAAATAGGTGCCACACCATTACTAAAAGAAACTCTGTGTCTTAACACAATAATAGCTATATCTTCAGCATGAAACCCAGATGCTCCATAATAACTTTCTTTCAGGTGAATAATGTCAACCTGTAAAAATTGTTTTTCTTATTATTATTCTTCTTTATATTAATTTGAATCATTAATAACTTACATTTATTATTCGAGTAAAGTCATTGTCAATTATTGTTAAATTTTTATCATATTTTCCAACAGAAATTTTGTATCGATCGTCGCTTATTGATAATTTCTTAGATAACACTCCTTGTTGCCAAAAACAATGAGCAGCTAAAAATGATATTTAATTTTTTTAATTTTTTTTATTCATTCTTTTTTGAAGTCGTTACACCAAAATTTTACCAGAAACGACTAAATTTGGAGCAATAATTGATCCTCCACATATAATGTCATAATCGGACGTATTTTTATTTAATTTATATATTCCAACATTCCAAGGGGCCGTTCCAACAAGTGCTATTTCCCCATTGTTGATCAATACTTCATTTTTGATATATACTTTACCGCAATCTAAACAAATATTTTAACATATTATATATATATTATACATATATAAATGATAATAATTAATAACTAATAATATCTATAAATTATATACATAATGATATTGGTTTAAAAATTTACATAAAACGACTTTACATAACCAAATATTATTTGTCATTCATTATTTTTAAAACAGAAGCATTTGGATACAGTCAAATTAAATAAATTTATAAATGTTTATTTATATATAAATTGGAGACTTATTGTAAATGAAAAAAAAAATATATTACATGGATTGCATCTATATAACTGAGAATTCCATGTCCCATTAGACTGACAATGTAATTCAAGGGGAGTATCTTCTTGTCCATACGGAGCACTATATGTTGGCTTACATGATGGCGTTGCTATTGTATTGGGTATCGATAAATTTGAACAGTTTGCATACTGACCATTAAGCGTGCATTTAATATCTAAACTATCTGATAGTAGAGGTGGACACATTTCTATAAATATAAATAAATTATAATCAACATAACTATACTTTTATAATTGACAAATAATTAACTATTACGTCATTTGAATTTAAAAAAAAAAACTTACTGAAACACAATTTCTCAGAATTCGATACCCATTTTCCTCTTCCCTGACAAAACCTAAAACCATTGGGATAAGCCTTATAATATCCAACTGCGCAATTCTCAATAACAATTAGATGATGATCAATTAATGCACCGTGAGGTAAAGTCTCATTAGAACCTTCATAAGAATACAAGACTCCTTCGGCAGTTGGTAGAACGCATGAATTCACTATTACCTGTCAAAAAACAAGTATGTTAAAAATATACTTTGTATCTAAGATATTAGTTTTAAAGCAGATTTTATCATAAATGAAGCCAAAACAATAAATTAAAAATTACAATGGATAGGTACTTACAAAAAAATATAAATACTTACTCGTTTGTTCAAAATTCCTTGAATAAATTTAATATGGTGTTTAATGCCTGTAAAACCCGAGACTGTATTATTGTATTCTTTATCCGTGACACTTAGAATCCCAGTCAAAAAATAAGAATTGGAATGCAAAAAACTTATACCCGATCCACTGTCTCCAGAACCTACGCGGTATGCTAGTTCTGTATCTAGAGATATTTTATGCATAAGACACATCATAGGGATATTAATATTAATAGGTAAAAATTATGATGACAATATTATTCTTAATATACAAAAAATAAATACATCAACTTTTGGTGAATATTTCATGTATTTATGGTTTTTCGATTTTACGTTACTGTAAAAAAACCCTAAATATACGATGTTGTTGAAAACTGGTTTTGCATAAAAAACCCAGTTGTCCTTATTTTTTGTTTTCTGATTTTTAATTTTTCAAATTATTAAGAAAAATACTTGAATATTTTACTTTTGAAACCAAAAGAACTAACTGGATCCAATATTTTATCAAGAGCATCCATAATGGTTGAAAATTGAAGCATTTTTACTGCTCCAAAATAATATGTAAAGAGCCGTAACAAATACTAGAATCACTCTAAAATCAATGCTTTCATTATTATGCTCATAATCTAAATTTGTATTACCTATTTTAGAACCGGCACAAATCTTATCATAAGTTAAATATTGATCGAATCCACTTGTATTTTTTCTTTGACAAGTACTATGGTCGATGTATGGAAATAATTTTTCTAATAAAACAAGACTTTGCGTGTCATTTTTTGTGTCTTCCCACACAAGAATCTGTAATAAAATGAATAATGTTTAATTTATAATTATAATAAACGTATAATATTAATATCTGGTCATGTAATTATCGATAACGATATCAATTCTTTCGTTAAATAAAGTTTGACTACTAAAGTCGAATAATATTTAATGCATTTAATAAAACTACAAATTATGTAGGTACCTATATAGTACGACAAAGTTACCTTTCCTTGATCTCCATTCTGTACCTCATATTTACTAATCCAATCGATACAAACAGGTGAGACACCATTAATAAACGAAACTTTGTGTGATAACACAAGAACAGAGATATCTTCAGCGTAGTTTCCATCAGCTGAATTATATCCTTCAGGCACATAAATTGTTTCAACCTACACAAATTATTCGGATCATACAAACTATTTACAGACTATGAACTATTAATAACTTGCATCGACTATTTGAGTTAGGTTGTCTCTTATTTTATAATTTTTATCATATTTTCCAATAACGACTTTGATTGAGCCATCGTTTACTGATATTGTCTTGGGTGAACCAGCTTTTTTCCAAAAACCATGAGCGACTGAAAATTATATTTATTTAATTTTGTTTTTTTTAACTATATTTTACATGAATATTACTTGAAATCACTACATTTGGACCAATAAGTGATCCTAAACAGGAAAAGTAATAATTAGAATCGGTCTTATATAATTTATATATTAGGACATTCCAAGGAGCTGTTTCAATCGTTGCTATATCTTCTTTGGATGTTACTTCGCTTTTTTTATTCACTTTGCCACATTCTAAAACAATGATAGATGATGTCAATTTAGAAGTTCCGCATTTAGGTTAATATGCGTAATTCTCTAATGTATAGGTTATTCCACAAACATATATAAGTAATATAATTAATGTCATATAGTTATTATGTAGTCGTACCCATGGACGTATTTGGTGCATACTGGTATCGAGCACACAACTCTTTGGTCTCGTCTGAACCATCTGAACAATCCTTACGACCATCACACACCCACGACAATTTGATACACAGTCCATTCGAACAATAAAAATTATCCTCGGCCTTTCTATAATTTTGTTTAAAAATACAAAAAAAAATATTATTTAATATTAGATATACAACTACCAGCAAATATTAAATATAATCGAATATAAAGAGTCTATATACAAATTAAACGGAAGAACCTGACAAAATAATAAAGCATAATAAGTAAGCAGTAAGTTTGAAATATTCATATAATTTAAGAACATTAATGTAAAAACAGATTTATATTAGTATTTATATTAGTAAACAATTTGATAGCATAATATAGCATACCAATGTAATACGCACAGTCGAAAATTTAACATTGGAGATGATCGGTAGTAGACAAATCTTTTTTTGAATAATAAAAAAATAAAGACTGTTTGATCCTCCTAACCTCGAAGTGGCTTTGTGATGTTTTTTTAAAAGCATACATAAACACCGTGGAGAACTGTGAAAGTCAGTTAATATGTAGTCAGTATTAAAAGTATCTCCCACACAGCAATCAGAAGATGACAATATTTACAAAATATTCTCTCATGATCTCGAAGAAAATATTTCTTAACATTATATTTTTAAAATGTATTTAAAATCATTTACTAAATTTATATTTTTTATTATAGTAGATTCATACTTTAAAAATATTTTTTATAATGATCATTATGAAAATATATTTATAAGATACTTTCAATATTTTTATAGAATATTAAGTTAAAATATTGTCTATTTTCTAACTTAAGTTTGAATATATTTTAAAAATATTTTCGAATTTGATAACTGTAAATATTATACCTAATAATTGATTTTAAGTAAAGTATGTTTTTGCTTATAGGTGTATTAAGGTATAATATAATTATATTGATATGAAAATCATGGGTTTACCCACAGGGAGGGTTCGTAGTGTTTAACTCCCCTCCTCCCATTGACTGTATTTATATATTAAATGTTATAAATAGGGATGCATAAGTGCTACTACCCATAGACACTACACATTTTTCTAAAAGTCATCATCTAAACCCCTCTCACATTGGAAAAATTATGAGAACGACAATACGTAAAATGTAATGTTTCATATTATTATATTGGCATATTATCCATCTGGGAAGACGTAGGTTGTAGGTAAGTTGATAGTAAAATAAATTTAATAATAAAGAAAATATAATTATTATTTAAATTTAAAATATTTGGTATAATTATGTTGTAGATTTAAAAAGTAAACATGTTTGAATTTTAGATTCTGAGCGGATGGAGATGAAAATGCATGATAATGTAGGCTACTCTAGGTTTTATGCGTACAGGATTTCTATAAAAATGTACTGAATGCTATTATTAAATATTTTTCTTATATAGTTAATGGTGCTTATTGATACTTAAGGGCTCTATGTTCCCAAGCACCACTATTTTTACTACTCATAATAAGATAATATGTATTTATACTAGAGTTACCAACGTTGAGCAAGAATCTTCATTTTGGCACAAAATTCCGGATCCTAAAATAATGAATCCTTACATTTAATATATAAGCAATGTTTGTAATTTAAAATGATTATGTATTGTACTGCATTTTCAGTTTTGAATTCAATAACGTCATATTTTTAAATTTAATATTTTTCAACCTTATAGTATTACATCAGCCAGTGAATATAAAAAGTAAATCACACGTTACATTCGTTTCAATCACAAGCTACTTACTACTTACTATTTGAATTTCAATCCAGTAACGTATACCTACATTATATGACATTGACGTAAATGTACATACTAAATTATCAACGCATGGAGTTTGAACTTAATAGCTATGAATGCGTATACATTTTGAATCTGACAATAATTTCCGATTACCTATAGATACACTAAATTGTATTGTACTTGTTCAGAGTTATAAAAATAAAATATAACGTTTCTTAACAACAAACAGTCTACCTGTTATAATTTAAAAACACACGTATAGAAAAATACCGACATAGTTATTTTTATTTGATTGAATAGATTTGTAATTTAATTTTGTTTTATCAGTATAATTATATGACAAATTGTTAATTTTGATACTTGATTGTTTGGTATTATATAGTATTGCTGTATTGTATTCGAATTTCTTGTATGCAGATATATTTATTTATACATTTTTTAAATACATTTAATATTTATATATAATACAATTAATAAAGTACTAATACAATGTCATTAAATCATTATTTTATATTTATTATTAAATTGTTAACACTGACATTACTTACCATAAAATAAACATGAACATATTAACCAGGAATACGTCACTTTCATTGCCAATGGGGAGCTGAGATTAATGTAAATATATTGAAAAATCTAAACAATAAATGTTTATTCATAAGTTCTATCCAATTAATAAAACTATATCCTAACCGATAGTTAAACACTAATTGACAAACATAGGTATAGTTAAATAGGGGAAAATATGCGTATATACTATTATAATATATTAATATGCAAGACAATACTTATAGAGAATTTAGTAATTTTTATTTTTTAACATTATATGATAACACTAAGTAAGAGACGATAATACCAATAGGACTATATAACACATAATGTCGGATCGTTTTACTACTAACTCAAGATACTAGTGTGTAGTCGTTGTAGACATACGATCACATGATAAGCTGAAGGACGAACTACGTAGAAAGATGGTCATGAAAAAATGAATTAATTACAAACTTGTTTTAAAATTGTTTCTATTGGTCCTATACTACTTCAAAAAAAACAACTTAAGGTTTTTCGACCTACCTATACTAAATGTTTGCAAAACTGGTTATTCAGATTGTATATGTACAAAATACATACTCATATGTACAACACAAATAATAATTATATATTGTTCGTTTATAATTTATGTATTCATAAATTGCAATAAATAAAATCGGTTATATTAAGCATGTTGTTTGTTTGATATGGTGAATAAAGAAAATCGTTATACAGTTACTCTAGAAATGGAATATAAATTGATTCCAATTGTTTTATACATAGAATTGTATGTAAACTGTAGAAGAATTTTCATGAATTATTTTTAATTTTAACTTCTATCTATTTAATATCCTTTCATTGATAAAGTGAAATTGGGTAGATACAGTATATTTTTAGATAATTTAAAAAAGTTAAATTGCTACAATTGAAATAAATGACCAATAAAACTTTTAATTAATTTTATCTCATCGTTGATCAATGTTTCTAGTACCTATCTCAAATGACATTGTATTTTTTTCTATTACGTTGCGATATTCTAACAATCGAGTAGTACTGTATTGATATTACCAAACGGCGTAATAGATAGACTATTTAGGTACGCCAGTGATTTGGGTTATTTTATATCTCATTTAACTATAAGTTTTGCAATATATTATAATGTGATTAAAGACTATTTGATTTGAATTATTTATTTGAAAGTTTAAAAGTTTAAAGAAAAGTTTAAACAAATTTGTTAAGTGTTTATTTTATAAATTCATAACATAATGAACACATTTTTGAAATGTAGTATTCATTAGCAAACATATATCAATACAATTAATACAAATTAATCATCAAACTAGAAATATATTATTTCCATTATAATGCACAATAGTGTTAATGATTATTAAACCATTAATGTACAATGTATAATTTTTCAGTATTTTGGAATTAAATAATTTTCAATTATAATATAATTTATAATGTTTCTGTACAACATAATAATATGTGTTATGACAAGTGTACATATTATTAATATTATGCCTAATTAAAATGAATATTGTAGGCACATTTAAAAGTTATTACACATAGGTAAAAACCTATAAATACAAAATATATAGATTTCTATTATAATTGGAGTACATTATTTTAATAACATTACCATTAAGCATAATCTTATTGAATATAACTATATTTGTTGTACAGTCCACGAATCCATTGAATGTGATGCTTAACGTCAGTGAAAACTGCAATTGAATTATTTGTATTTGGATCCTTGATACTCGCTACTCCAGTTAAATAATACGATTCAGAGTGGAAAAAGCATAAGCCAGCTCCGCTATCTCCCCTACCCACTCCTTGACCTGAAACCAAAATCATTTTAGAAATAACACCTACATTTTTCATAGCTCTGTTATGGGGCAGTGGTTACAATACGGATTTAACTTTTTGATTACAAATCATCTACAAGTACTTTATTACAAGGATATGTGATGTAGAAGGTTAAAGGTTGTATAAGTACTAAATCCATGTGGTAGATGTAGTTTGAACCATATAGTTTAGTGGTGTTTTGTACACATATCCACACTGACCACAGTCCATCAGTGCAATTTGTGATAAAAGTAACTACTAGCCGATAATAAAATGGATTTCAAACCATTATAGTTTATTGTTTTTGGTTATATAATTGCGAATTATAACTATAAGGTGTGATTATCAAATCTCCGATGAATCAATTCATTTTTTTAGTAGTTTAGTTATGAATACTAAAACCAAGCCAGCCACTTACATTCAACAGTTTAATAAATACATGCACCAAAACACATTGTATAAACAATAAACTAAAGTATAATCGTTCGATTATGAAATAAAATCACTATAACAAATTAAATGACATCAGAATGCTTAATCACATAGGCACATCCTTAGTTCTCCATATCATATTACATTAACACACACTAACACATTATGATATTCAGCCTTGTACAGTGTTTTCTTCTGAGGACACAGACAACTGCTCTCGAATATTGAATACCGTATTTGGACGGGTCATCAACCTCACTCTACATACCGTACTTTACGTGTTTCTAATCATTACACTTTCCTAATCTTCTTTATTTTTTTCAACTGCAATAGGTAGGATCCGGGAATCAAAAGTTGATTTTGTTAAAAAATCAATGGTCTTATGGTATATATTACCTGATTCAGAACCGGCACAAAACTTATCAACTGTGACAAATGGTTCAAATCCGTTAGTATACATATTATGGCAAGAACTATGGTCGATATACGGTAAATATGCTTCTAATAAAATAGGACTTGGAATGCCTTTTTCCGTTTTTCCCCAACCAACAATCTGTAAAAGTATAAAACAGCTATAAAGTTCAAAATATTAAAACAAATGTGTCATTTTAATCTAGGTAAGTTGGGAATTTGTAGAATTAATTAAATCAATTCTGACTGATCGAAGTTTTTTAATTTTGAACCTCATTCAAATATAAAATTAGAATAAAGTTTAAGGGTTTAAGCTATTCTAGTTGGTACTTTTGAAAGGTTAATGATGAAAATTCATAATAGTTTCAAAAGCGTTGAGAATAACAAAAAAAAGATACAGAAAATCGGGAATTTTTACTAAAACAAAGTTTTTATGATGTAACTAATAAACTAACAATTATAGATTCTTTAAAACCCCACCTAATGTTTATAATTCGAATTTTTAGTTTATAGTTATTTAACTTTTGTATTTAGGATAATAGTCATTAAAGCTCGTTTTACATAAATATAAAATAAACATAAAATTGGATCTAGTATTGAGGTATTATACTTGGGAAATTTTTACAAATAATTAATGTTAATACAATAATATTAATATATCAATTTTCAATAACTTTTAGCAACCAACTTTCAAAAATTTGCAATCTAAGATTTCATAATCCAAATCGGCATAATAAAACTGGGGGGCTTACTTCACGTAGCCCCCCGACTTTGTCCCATCGATTTCGGACTTATGCCAATATTTAGCAACCTTTTAGCAACTAATTGCAACCTACTTGGAAAAATGTGCAACCTCTTTTTTAACTACCTTTATCGGAACACAAGTCAGGGGTAACTATTATGACGTTTTGTATCCAATCTTAGGACGATCCATTAAAAGATTATTTTATGCATATGTTAGTGTGTAAAGATACGCTTTTTTTACTGAAGATACATGTAAATACTGCCACTGCAGTGAGCAAGTGACGCTGCTAACAAAATTAATTTATACCAACAAAAATACTTTGTTTATTCATTATTATTAGGGCAGATGACTTGTAGCATTACAACAAATGTGTTTCATTCTGAAACAAAGTTGGTTTTAAAATTGAATTTTGTATATAAATGCATAATTCGAGTTTTTGTTTTTAGTGCATATTTCTTCGATTCTATACGTTACGATGCATATTTTCAATAACCTATCATTTTATCATTATTTTTATCGTCGACGTTTTTATTTAATTTGAATATTAATAAACAACCAAAATAATGTTAAATTTAAAATTATTTTAAAATTCGATCATATTAATATGGTTGCTGACTGTTCCCACGCCCATGTTTTTCCTAGAGACAAGTCTCGAGGATTGCCGATTAGATTTATTTCCAAGTAATTAATTTTATTTATGAACAGATAATGTTCACTGCATAAAATATTATCATCAATACTGGCCACGAGGACGTTGGTCGGAGACATCAAAATTTAAATAACCTATATTTACACAAATAATTTTATTTCTCAATGCATATTTTTAATGCATTATAATATGCATAATAGTTTTAAAATGCATATTTTGTACATTTTAGTGCATATTTGGTGATTATTTAGAGAGTCTTCTGCCCTTATTATGTTTGTGAAGATACCCTGCCCCCTCGCCAATGTCATAAAGTCGATTACTTCAATAAAGTATAGGAAAATTAATATAAGTTTTACATGGACAGTACAATTACATAATTAGTAATTATATACATAGTATTTTTATCAATCATCGCTAGCACACTATGCGTTTTGGTGAGTAGAATAAAATGCACCAGGAAGACCTGAGAAACAAATCGCATTGCAAAGATCTGGTTTTATATGGACCAACCAAAAAACATACACTGATCGACTCGAATTATTAAAAACAATATTTAAAAGCTGTGATGACATCACTTACTTAAAAGTGTTAGATGCTAGATGTAATGTATCGTTCGTTGCAATGAAATTATTCGTTAACGCTCCATCCGTTATCAAAAAATTACGGTGTACAACAGGTGGTTGTATTAATAATAATAAAGAGATTGAAAGCCCAACGATAATCTTAAGATGTAAAGACTTTAAAAATCTCCAGAAATTATTCGACAATTACACCATGGAACAAATGAATGAATGCTGTTATTGTGATAAGTCGTTATCATCAAAAAGAACTTCAAAGAACCCCCTTTTAATTGAGACTGCTATTTTCACTGAAAATCAAAATATTCCACTTTCGACATTTCCAACTCAATTAGCAGCTAATGATGTCAAGTGTGTATACAATTTCTAATATAATTATAATGGATCTCCTGATATTCAATATTCTTCTAATTAATGGCCACACAAATATTTCATTTCGTCTTCTCAATGTATATCATGTGATCACTATTTGCTTCAAATGTATAATAAAAATACATGTACAATATTGGACAATATTTAGCTATTTAAAATGAAAATAAAAACTAATATTTTCTCTTTGTTTTGATTTCTAGAGTTATTCAAAAACTATAAATTTTTCAATCTTAAATTTTAACGTATCATTAGAGTATATTCACAGATTTAATTTTCAGATATAGGTTGTATGGTGTAGTTGGGTATCATTCTGAACACTACATATCACATATACGGAGATCAGATAACCACTCGGAAACACATAATGACCTCGAAAAGAAAATTAAGATATCTAAATCAAAAAGCTTAAACATAAGTCAACATATAGCCGTGTACATACAAATTTAATTTGACAAATATTTTTATTTGTATATAAATCTAATGTTAGATTTTTTTTAAGTTAAAAGATATTTCACAGTATACCCATTCAATTTAATTTAATTTTTGAAATATGTACAGTGAAATTGTTTGTTTTTAATTAAAAAAAATATTTTTATAAACGATCAATCAAACAGTACAAAATTACAAAATCGATCGTGGATCAATTTTTTTTATAACATTTATATTTAACGAAAACTATAGACTAACGTAATACTATAATATGTAAAAATGTAAAAAAAAAAATTATGGTCCTCAAACTTTAAACTTTAAAGACAACCCTTCGGAGTTCATAATTAAATTTATTGAAGATTTAAAAAATTAATTAAATGGTCAAAAAGCGAAACTAATCAAAACTAATACCTCAAAAACGTAATACATAAATTTTAAGTTTGTACAATATGTAATACTTATTATTATGCCGCTCTACACGATCTATGTTGAAAACACATGGAACAGACTTTAAAGTCGTAATAATAGACATTTAAAAAAGTTTAAAGTTAATAACTATTTTAATCTTCTGACTCAGTTAAGTTAAAACTTATATAGAAACTTTAAATTAACTTAATATTTAATTTAGGTTAAGTTTTAATTACTATAATTATTTTTTAAACCTATAAGTAGGAATAAGACTAAAAATAATAGAAAATACTTCCTTCTACAGTATTCATCAAGAATATTTTTATTATTTTTTTTCTTTAATCTTCGACAACTGAGACCATTAGCTGTAGGTTGAGGTACTGTAGGGTTTTAGAACACGTGTGGTTGTTTGGCAGAATTTCTAGTGGGCATCCGTAGGTATCTGCCATGCCCGTATTCTTATTATATTTGCTATTTAATGATAAATTAATCAACGAAAATTGAATTTGATTAAAAATAATTCATTGGTTATTATGTTTATATCAATACAAATCAGTTAAGTTAAAAATTAACTAAGAAATATTTAAAATATAAAAATGAAGTTGAAAAGTTAAAATTAACTTAAGTTTCGATAGAAAACATTATAGTCACCCACTCACCCATGACTTGTATCCCGATAAAAGTATTTAAAAAAGAGGAAAATATTGTTGGTGGGGTCAAAAAGCATACAAATTTAATACAAGACTCTTGATAAATTAACACAATAGCAGTTGAAGAATTTTAAGAATACAAAGGCATAATTTTTCGTTATGAGCATTTTAAAATTACAATTTTGACAAAATATATCAAGTTGAAAATAGAAAATGACATTGTAGTTAAAAATGTATAAAATGTTCAATTTGGAAATTTAAAACAAGGTTCCACTTAAACAGTTATTCCGTAAATACAAAATCTAAAAAAAATTATGAATACAGTAATTTTTTACTAACATTTTAAGTTCAAATTTGGATAAGATTCCATATTAACATACAGAATACCGTTTACCATATTGTTGTAAATCGGTTCCAATCAACTAGATTCTGCATTATTATTTTTAATAATTTTAAAGCGTCACTGATAATTTAAGAATAATATTAATTGAACTTACCGGCTACCATATTAATAATAAGTAATAACAACATAAAATATCCTAAACAGACACACCGTCTCAGCTCAGAATCGTTTTTCTCATACAATCATAATCTATATGTTTGAGTTTATATTTAAAACCAACTATTACAGTGATCCAATTGTAACTCAATTTACAGCAGATCGGTATTCACTTTCCTACCTTCAGTCATGTAGTCTTGTAACACGACAATATTTAAGCTTCATTAAGCAGTATCACGGTATTTGCTCTTTACAACCGAAAGGTCTAATGATTGGTAGTATATATAAATGAGTAATAATTGTAAAAAAATCTCACTTTTAATAATTATTAAATAATGTCAAGAACCAACCTTTCCTTGATTTCCATTGACTTCATTGTATTTACTATTCCAATCTATACAAACAGGCGACACACCATTACTAAAAGAAACTCTGCTTTTTAACACAATAATAGCTAAATCTTCAGCATGAAACCCAGTGGGTCCATAATAACTTTCTTTCAGGTGAATAATGTCCACCTAAAAAAATTGTTTTTCTTATTATTATTCTTCTTTATATTAATTTGAATCATTAATAAGTAATAACTTACATTTATTATTTGAGTAAAGTCATTGTCAATTATTGTTAAATTTCTATCATATTTTCCAACAGAAATTTTGTATCGATCGTCGCTTATTGATAATTTCTTAGATAACACTCCTTGTTGCCAAAAACAATGAGCAGCTAAAAATGATATTTAATTTTTTTAATTTTTTTTATTCATTCTTTTTTGAAGTCGTTACACCAAAATTTTACCAGAAACGACTAAATTTGGAGCAATAATAGATCCTCCACATATAATGTCATAATCGGACATATTTTTATTTAATTTATATATTCCAACATTCCAAGGTGCCGTTCCAACAAGTGCTATCTCTCCATTGTTGATCAATACTTCATTTTTGATATATACTTTACCGCAATCTAAACAAATATTTAAACATATTATATATATATTATACATATATAAATGATAATAATTAATAACTAATAATATCTATAAATTATATACATAATGATATTGGTTTAAAAATTTACATAAAACGACTTTACATAACCAAATATTATTTGTCATTCATTATTTTTAAAACAAAAGTATTTGGTTACAGTCCAATTAAATGAATTTATAAATATATATTTATTCATAAATTGGAGACTTATTTTATGTGAAAAAAATTTCAATTACATGGATTGCATCTATATAGCTGAAGCTGAGTATTCCATGTCCCATTAGACTGACAATGTAATTCATGGGGAGTATCTTCTTGTCCATTCGGAGCAATATATGTTGGCTTACATGATGGCGTTGCTATTGTATTGGGTATCGATAAATTTGAACAGTTTGCATACTTACCATTAAGCGTGCATTTAATATCTAAGCTATCTGATAGTAGAGGTGGACACATTTCTATAAATATAAATAAATTATAATCAACATAACTATACTTTTATAATTGACAAATAATTAACTATTACGTCATTTGAATTTAAAAAAAAAACTTACTGAAACACAATTTCTCAGAATTCGATACCCATTTTCCTCTTCCCTGACAAAACCTAAAACCATTGGGATAAGCCTTATAATATCCAACTGCACAATTCTCAATAACAATTAGATGATGATTTATTAATGCACCGTGAGGTAAAGTCTCATTAGAACCTTCATAAGAATACACGACTCCTTCGACAATTGGTAAAACGCACGAATTCTCTATTACCTGTCAAAATCGTATAGGTTAAAAATAAAATATCTTTCTGAAATACAATAAATTTGGAGCAGAAGTTGTCATTAAATGAAACCAAGCCAATATAATAAATTAAAAATTAAAATGTGTAGCACTAAAGAAATATATTTACTTACATAATTGTTTAAAAGTCCACGAATCCATTTAACATGTTGTTTAATATCTGTCAAACCTATGACTGTATTTTTATTGTATTTTTTATCCAAAACACTGAGTACCCCAGTTAAAAAATAAGAATTTGAGTGCAAAAAACTTATACCCGATCCGCTATTTCCATGACCTACACGGTATGCTAATTCTGAAACTAGAGATATTTTATACATCAAACATATAATAAGGACATAACTATTGTTAGTCATGGAGTCCATAAGTAAAAAATCCTATGACAATATTACCATAATATATAAAAAATACATATATAAACTTTTGGTGAATATTTCATGTATTTAATATTTATGGTTATTCGATTTTACGTTATTGTAAAAGAAACCATATGGATATTGATAAAAACTGGCTTTGCATAAAACTCCGTTAACTCCAGCTTTTGTTTTCTGATTTTTTAATTTTTCCAATTATTAAGAAAAGCACTGGAATATTTTACTTTTGAAACCAAAAGAACTAACTGTATCCAATATTTTATCAAGAGCATCCATAATAGTTGAAAATTGAAGCATTTTTACTGCTCCAAAATAATATGTAAAGAGCCATAACAAATACTAGAATCACTCTAAAATCAATGCTTTCATTGATATGATCATAATCTAAATTTGTATTACTTACCCAATTTAGAACCGGCACAAATCTTATCAAAAGTCAAATAACGATCCAATCCACTTATATTATTTCTTTGACAAGTACTATGGTCGATGAATGGAAATAATTTTTCTAATAAAACAGGACTTTGTGTGCCATTTTCTGTGTCTTCCCACACAAGAATCTGTTATAGAATGAAACTCTTATAAAATGTATAATTATAATAAACGAATAATATTAATATCTGGTCATGTAAGTATCGATAACGATATCGGTTATATTCGTAAATTAAGTCTGACTACTAAAGTCAAATAATATCTTATGCATTTAATAAGACTACAAATGACTTATTTAAACACAAAGTTACCTTTCCTTGAGCTCCATTCTGTACCTCATGTTTACTATTCCAATCGATACAAACGGGTGAAACGCCATTAATAAACGAAACTTTGTATGATAACACAAGAAGAGAGATATCTTCAGCGAAGTTTCCATCAAGTCCATTATAACCTTCAGGCATATAAATCATTTCAACCTACACAATTGTTATAGTTTATATTATACATATCATACAATCTTTTTGTAGGCTATGAATTATTAATAACTTGCATCGATTATTTGAGTTAAGTTGTCTATAATTTCAAAATGTCTATAGTATTTTCCTATAGCAACTTTGACTGAGCCATCGTTTATTGATATTGTCTTGGATTGTCCTTTCTTCCAAAAAACATGAGCAACTGAAAATTATATTTATTTTATTTTGTTTTCTTTCTTAAACACATGTTACAAGGATTTACTTGAAATCACTACATTTGGAGCAATAAGTGATCCTAAACACGATAAGTAATAACTAGAATCATCTAATTTATATATTAGAACATTCCAAGGTGCTGTTTCAATCGTTGCTTTATCTTCTCTGGATGTTACTTGGTTTTTTTTATTTACTTTACCACATTCTAAAACAATTATAGATGATGTCAATTTAGAAGTTCCGCATTTATATTAATATGCGTAATTCTCTAATGTATAAGTTATTCCACAAACATATATAAGTAATTTAATTAATGTCATATAGTTATTATGTAGTTGTACCCATGGACATATTTGGTCCATACTGGTATCGAGCACACAACTCTTTGGTCTCGTCTGAACCATCTGAACAATCCTTACGACCATCACACACCCACGACAATTTGATACACAGTCCATTTGAACAATAAAAATTATCTTCGGCTTTTCTATAATTTTGTTTGAAAATACAAAAAATTATTAATTATTAATATTAATTATACAACTATCAGAAAATATAAAATATAATCGAATATAAAGATTCTATATACAAATTAAACGGAAGAACCAGACATATGTGTGAAATTCAACATTTATAATATGATATTATTACTTATTTGCCAATTAAACATGTTTGAATTTTAGATTCTGAGCGGAAAGAGATGAAAATGCATGATAATGTAGGCTACTCTAGGTTTTATGCGTACAGGATTTCTATAAAAATGTACTGAATGCTATTATTAAATATTTTTCTTATATAGTTAATGGTGCTTATTGATACTTAAGGGCTCTAAGTTCCCAAGCATCACTATTTTTACTACTCATTATAACATAATGTATATTTATAAGAGAGTTACCAACGTTGAGCAAGAATCTTCATTTTCGCACAAAATTCCGGATCCTGAAAAAATGAATTCTTACATTTAATATATAAGCAATGTTTGTAATTTAAAATGATTATGTATTGTACTGCATTTTCAGTTTTGAATTCAATAACGTCATATTTTTAAATTTAATATTTTTCAACCTTATAGTATTACATCAGCCAGTGAATATAAAAAGTAAATCACACGTTTCATTCGTTTCAATCGCAAGCTACTTACTACTTACTATTTGAATTTCAATCCAGTAACGTATTCCTACATTGTATGACATTGACGTAAATATACATATATTAAATTTAATATTTATATATAATACTATTAATAAAGTACTAATACAATGTCATTAAAACATTATTTTATATTTATTATTATATAGTTAACACTGACATTACTTACCATAAAATAAACATGAACATATTAACCAGGAATACGTCACTTGCATTGCCAATGGGGAGCTGAGATTAATGTAAATATATTGAAAAATCTAAACAATAAATGTTTATTCATAAGTTATATCCAATTAATAATATTATATCCTAACCAATAGTTTAACACAAATTGACAAACATAGATATAGTGAAATATAGGTATTATGTGTATATACTATTATAATATATTAGCATACAATACAAAACTATGGAGAATTTAGTAATTTTTATTTTTTAACATTTTGATAACACTAAGTAAGAGATGATAATACCAATAGGACTTTACAACACCTGACACATTATGCCGTATCATTTTACTACTGACTGAGGATACTAGTGTGTAGTCGTTGTTGATAAACGATCACATGATAAGCTGAAGGACGAACTACGTAGATATATGTTCATGAAAAAATGAGTTAATCACAAACTTGTTTCAAAATTGATTCTATTGGTCCTACAACTTCGTCTAATACAACTAAAGGTTTTTCGACCTACCTATACTAAATGTGTGCAAGACTGGTTATTCAAATTGTGTTTGTACAAAATACATACTCATAAACACAATCTAAAGTATTTATATTTAAATTTAATTAAATAACTATATATTGTTTGTTCATTGTATTATATTATATTTTGTATACCAGTTGTGGCAAACCTTTTTAGGGTCAAGTGCCAAAATTTAAAAACAAAATTTTTAAAATATAATTGTGTGCACCTCCCCCTCCAAAAAAGGCATTTTTAATGAAAAGATAAAAAAAGATAAGCAATAATTACTGTACACATTTTATTAACGTTAACTTTTATTTAACGAATAACAGACAAAATATTTTGAAAATGTCAAGAAAAATATTTTATAAGTTTTGATGTGACATTGAAATTTGGTCAACTCGCCAATTCTGGCACGTGTGTCATAGTTTCACTTCTCTTGTAGAAATAATACTAATCATAAATTGCAATAAACAAAATCAGTTATATTAGGTATATTGTTCATTTGATAAGGCGAATATTAAATATCGTTATACAGTTACTCTAGAAATGGAATATAAATTGATTCCAATTGTTTTATCTATAGAATTTAATGTAAATTATAGAAGAATTTTCATGAGTTATTTTTACTACTATCTATTTAATATCCTTTCATTGATAAAGTAAAATTGGGTAGATACGCTCGTACCGAAGTCTTGGCGGTTTACATCACGGATTAATTTTTTATATTTATATCTTATAAAATAATATATACCTTTAATCCCAAAGACCGTTCTTTTTTTTTGTGTCGATTATTAGGTCAGTATTTTTAATATAATTTTTTATTCAACAATCCACCGTCGAAAGTATCACTGATCAACGAGCATCAATTTCCCCTTTAACTTACAGTTGATATGACTGCCATCAGATACGCTATCATGTTGTATCGTGTAGTATAGAGTTCGTGTATACATATATTTAAAAACAATTTAAAACATTTAAATTGCATCAATTAAAATAAATGACCAACTAATTTTTAACTAATTTTATCTCAACGTTGATAAATGTTTCTAGTACATGTCTCAAATGATATTGTATTTTTTTAACACTTTTCTTAAGTTTGGTTTCACGTCTGTCTGTGATCAAATCTTGCGCGCTCGATTTGAGGCACTTTTTGAAGATGAAAAATTCTGAAAATTGGTATAGACCTTGGTCTTGGATGACAATACAATAATCCGTTGTCATTTTGGGACATGGACCAAAAAAAAAAAAAAAAAACGGGCAAGACATTCTGTAACGTTGACGCTTTGGATGAAATCGACAGAATGAGACAACATCGTCCCAATATCTCAGAAGCAATTGTAAATGACGGACAATAAATTATAAGTACTGTCAAATAACAAAATATATAATACACATAATGGTCTCATAATGAAATTGTTAATATAAAAAAATTTCAATTGGTTGTGGCAAACAAAATAAATGTCTTGTCATTTCACGACCACATAAACTTATTTATTTATAAATAAATCATAATCACCAGTAGTTTGATTCTTTTTGTTTCACAAACATATTTCTTAAACGTTTAATAAAAATATTTACTTTCAACTAAAAAGTAGAAAATAAAAAATAAAAAAAAAAATTTTAAAAACACACTTTTCCATAAAAACATTTAAAAAAAAATTTTAAAAATTGCACTAAAAAGACAAAAATAATTCTCTGTACTTAAAAATAATGAAAAATTTATTGATGAAAAATTTAAAAGTGTGTGGTGCATCATACAAAACATTAAAAGCCGAGCTAAGTCTCACATACACTTCTTTGTTCAATCCTGTTTATAAGATAGTGACTGGCAGTATATGTCAAGTATAAGAGCAAAATAATGAAAAATTTACTGATGAAAAATTTAAAAGCCAAGGAAATAAGTCTCACATACACTTCTTTGTTCAATCATGTTTATAAGATAGTGACTGGGAATATATGTCAAGTGTATGAGCACCACACACTTTTAAATTTTTCATCAATACATTTTTCATTATTTTTAAGTACAGAGAATTATTTTTGTCTTTTTAGTGCAATTTTTAAAATTTTTTTTTAAATGTTTTTATGGAAAAGTGTGTTTTTTTTATTTTTTTTTTTATTTTTTCTATTACGTTGCAATATTTTAACAATTGGGTAGTACAGTATTCATATTATCAGACGGCGTAAAAGATAGACTATTTAGCTACGCCCGTGGTTTGGGTTACTACAGCAGTATGCCATTGATCTATATTAATACTGTAAAATTCAAAATATAATATTATTAGAAAGAGTTCAGACTACCAAATGTTTCTGGGCGAGTTTCTTGCAATATTAGCCAGCGAGACCTAACAAATGAAATTACTTTTGTTTAAATTTGGACATATTAATAAATCGTTTAATTTATATCGTAAACCAAAAACGATTCTGAGCGAACACGCTTTATTCTGATCACTTAGAATACGTAGTATATTTTATGATATTATTGCTGTTAAATTAATTAATTTTATTAAATTAATAATACAATAAGTTCAAATTGTCATTGTGTAATATAATATAATAATTTACATTAAAAGTTTTAAATACCCACGAATAATATTTATAATTTACAAAAAATAACTAAAATCTGTATTCCTTTTAAATTTGTAATGCTTAAATATAAATGTTGAACATTTTATAAATGTAGTAGTTTTCACATTTTTATGATTTTAATGATTTCTGTCAACATTTGTAATTAAAATGTCTATAAATAGCTCAAAGAATGTATGTACATTAATTGTTAATAAATATAATTAAAATACATATTATAATCTTCCTCGAACGAGTAAGTTGTAAAGCAAAAGTTTTCATTCACAAAACCATGTCAATACAATAACTAAACAACGTAATTGATACAAATGAATAATAAAACAAATAGTTTTTTCAAATAATATAAACAGTACTTAGTAATAATTACGAAATAAATTAATGAACAATCCAAATTTGGAATATGCTAAAAACTGTTCAAATTTAATATGTGTCGATTAAATATAATATAATGCTTAGGTGCTATCTGTGTTTTATAATATTTGTATTATGTTTAATTTAAATGCAATTATATGAGCTGTAAAAATTGATACACACAAATGAAAACCTATTTACCCAAATAATTATTAAAATTACAGTTAGAATAGATTTTATGGCATTACTAAAATCCTATTGGACTTAAATATGTTTATTATAGAGTCCACGAATCCATGGTATGTGGTGCTTAACTTCTGTAAATACTGCGATTGAATTATTTGAATCTGAATCTTTGATACTCACTATTCCGGTTAGGTAATAAGAATTAGAGTGTAAAAAGCATAAGCCTGCGCCGCTATCTCCCTTACCCACTCCTTGTCCTGAAACTAAATATGTTTTTTACATTAGACACATAATATTAATGATTGAAAATGTTCTCTCGTGAAAAATAATTTCACTACATTTTATGACGTTATTGAACCAAAATTGTTGTAAGATGCAGAACATAACTCCGATTTCTTATGACTTGAGTTTTTGCGATTTTGAACTTGGAATTCGACATGAATTGGATAAATATAATATACATTTTTCGGAATTATGTTCTGACTACGTGGTCGGCTGTATTGGTACGACAGACTTAGCTCGCAATGAACAAAGTTCCAGTGACTTCCGAGTTCTGCTCAGCGAGTATCCGATGGGCGCCTGCCTAGTGTGCAACTATTATTGTCCATCAATGCCTAGAGTCCGCACCCGGATCCGATCATTCGGTGGCGTCGATGTCGTTGAATTTTATACAAATCTATATTCGAATTTATTATTTGGTGGCTCATCTGATGTGTTGATATTTTTTTGTTTTTCAAGACCCTTCGTCATTATATTATTTTTTTTTTAATCAGAATTTTTGATAAAATAGTAGTGTTTTTAACTGATTCAAATTATTATGGTTTAAAAAAATTTAGGTACTGCTAGAATTTGTCTAGGTTATCTTTCAGTTGTTAATTTGTCCGACTCTCCCACATTGTGCATTTGACATTTACATTCTTTAATAGATTATATTGATATCAAATTTTTACGTAAATGGCTCCTTATTTTTAATTATTGAGTTACTAGATACCTACCTACTTCATAATATATAAATATAATTGTAAATATTACCTATTATGTAATATATAACAATAACATTTAAGACATTTCTTTTGATATTAAAGTATTAAACCTTCGTCTCCCTTTAACATAATTCTCTTTTGGAAAAAACCCCTCAATATCAACACTCAACTTCTCCCACTTAACAATAATAATACAATCCACTCATTAATAAAAGTAAAATTCAATGAAATTATAAACACATCTTCATGAATACAAATAAGTGTGTACCGATAGATTCAAAAACACGAGTGGGCCGTCTGCTACACAACAAATACTTAATTCACACTATATAAATATTCCACCCTCGAGGCTTGCATAATCATTGCCGAATTTCAAGCCATCAAAGTAACAAAATACAAATCAATACAATGACCACCAACAAAATACTAGTAATCAGCACTCCTTGAGTTCTTCTTAGTTCATTGTTCTCGAATCACCGCTTTTTATTTACACTGACTCTTTCTCCTTCCAACTTTATGGATAGACTTGTAGAAATATATTTTGTATTCTTATGCCTACTAGTTTAAAATGTGATTCAATAATTTAATTTAAAAAAATCTTCATATTGAAAAGAATTTGATATTCAACTTAAGTTAAGTTCATCAAAACAAATTTAAAAACCATTGATTGAATATCAATCGTATAAGCACGATTGAATACCTATTTTATTACCTGATGTAGAACCGGCACAAAACTTATCAATAGTCACAAATGGTTCAAATCCGTTTGTGTACATATTCCGGCAAGAACTATGGTCGATGTATGGTAAAGATGCTTCTAATAAAATAGGACTTGAAATGCCTTTTTCCGTTTTTCCCCAACCGACAATCTGTAAAAGTAGAAACAGTTGTATTATATACAGTTATAATTAATTTATCATATTCATCACTCTTTATATGATTGTTGGGAATGAGTATGAATATTAGTATCATAAAAAACAGTAAATCATAATTTGCCAAATGTAAGCAATAAATGTTGAATTGTATTTAAATTGGGTTTTCATCAGTAATATTAAATTTTATTAAATAATAAATTAATCTAAGTTTGGAAAATCAAAGTATTTTTTAATGTTCAAATTCGATAAAATATGAAATAAGAATAATATTTATTTGGTTTTACAAGTCTAATTTCAAGATTTTATTTTATGGTTATGTTTATGTATGGACATTTGAAAATATTTATGCAGCTTGAGCAAGTATGATCAGCAGACAGCAAGTACGTTTGTATTTATTGTATTTGTTCTTTAAAAAGAAATTATCAATGGCCGATAATATAAGGTACTGTAATTAATTTTAAATAAATCTCACTTTTAATAATTAAATAATGTCAAGAACCAACCTTTCCTTGATTTCCATTGACTTCATTGTATTTACTATTCCAATCGATGCAAACAGGTGCCACACCATTACTAAAAGAAACTCTGTTTGGTAACACAATAATAGCTATATCTTCAGCATGAAATCCAGTGGGTCCATAATAACCATCATTTAGGTAAATCATTTCTACCTGCACAATTATTTTACTTTATATTAAGCATATAATACACATTATTAGAAGACTTTCCACGATCAGTAACTTGCATTGATTATTTGAGTAAAGTCGTTGTCAACTACTGTAATATTTCTATCATATTTTCCAACAGCGATTTTGTAAAGACCGTCGTTTATTGATATTCTCTTAGATAACATACTTTTTTCCCAAAAACAATGAGCAGCTAAAAACAATATTTACTTAATTTTCATTCTTTCTTAAATTGATTGTGGTTGTAAAAAAAGATTTTACCTGAAACTACTAAATTTGGAGCAATAATAGAACCTCCACAAATCAAATCATAATTCGAATTTTCTTTATTCAACCGATATATTCCAACATTCCACGGAGCTGTTCCAATACGTGCTTTTTCGCCATTTTCGATCAATACTTGGTTTTTGGCGTACACTTTACCGCAATCTAAAATAATACTTGAATATTTACATATATCACCATTACCGATCAATACATGGTATATTATATATACTCTATCACTTAATAAAATAATATTTGAATATAAATATTAAATATGCATGATAATAATTCATAAGTAATAATATCTATAGAATAGAATAGACATAATGATGACAGTTTGAAAATGTGCGTCAATAGTATATGCCTAACCAATGATTATTAAACTTATTCTTCATTAATTGTATTATATAACAAATAAAACAATTTGGATAAAGTAAAAGTTAAGTAAATTAGAAGAATATAAATAAATAATTAGAGACTTATTTTTGTAAAACAAAAAAATACAATTACACGGATTGCAACTGTATAGCTGTTTATTCCACGTTCCATTAGACTGACAAAGTAAATCAAGTGGAGTCTCTTCTTGTCCATTTGGTGCAGAATATGATGGCTTACATGATAATTTTGCTATTGTATCGGGTATCGATAGATTTGAGCAATTGGCATACTTTACATTTAAAGTACATTTAATATCTAAACTATCTGATTCTAGAGATGGACACATTTCTAAAAACGGAAATAAATTATTATCAAACTACAGATAGGTACATAATATTTAAAGAATGTATGACTACGACATACGAATTACTATGTATTACTTACTGAAACACAATTTCTCAGAATTCGATAACCATTTTCCATTTTCCCGACAAAACCTAAAACCATTGGAATAAGCCTTATGATATCCAACTGCACAATTCTCAATAATATTAAGATGATGATTAATTAATGTTCCGTGAGATATCTTTTCATTAGAACCTTCATAAGAATATACAACTCCTTCGGCTTTTGGTAAAATGCATAGTTTTCCTGTGATCTATCAAAACCTTAATTGTTAAAGCTTTATATTTATTCTAAGATATGTAAGATTTTAAGCAGAAATTGTCATTAACAAAACCAAAACAATACAATAATTAAACATTTTTATTGATATCAGCAATGTGGTGTATTTACGTACATGCTTGTTTAACAGTCCGCGAATCCATTGAACATGGTGCTCAATGTCTGTAAAAACAGTAATTGAATCGTTCGTAGTTGAATCTTTTATAGCTAGGCAAGCTATTCCAGTTAGATAATACGAATTGTAGTGCATAAATGTCAATCCCGCTCCGCTAAATGCTACACCTACTCCTTTCCCTGAAACTAAAGATATTTTGTATACATAAGACAAATGAAATATATTTATTTTATTGTTTGGTGCAGGTGGGAAATTCTTTTATTTAATTACAAATTAACTCCATTCGGCAATTTAGACTATTGTAAGAAATAACAGAATCAACAACTTATTAGCTAAAAACACTTGTACATAATAATGTACATAAAACGATTAGAGTGATTGTAGGTCATTATTAGCTAAGGACATCATTCATGTTATAATGTTCTCGGAGAAGTTGGAATGATTGTTTAACTGGAAATCAAAAGGACTACGGGAGTCCATATAATGTTACCGGTGATATGAATAAAAAGTCGGAGTATCAAACTGTCCTTCAATTAGCCTGTAGGTAAAAAAACACAACATTTTATGCGGTGTTATTATAATGGTTCTAGATCGAGTTACTCACTATTAGTTCCGCAATTACGAGGTGGGTTGGTAATACATAGGTGATAACCTGCAAGACTGTGAATCCGGAACTGGACATTATTTTTAAAATCAATGTGAGACATTGGGGCAATACAAGGTGTGTGACAAAATTAAACAGCTGCTTGCTTAGGAGGAAGGGGGGCTAATGGAATGTTTGGATAGTCCCCGATTTTCAGCAATAAGTGGTCAGAATACAGATTTACATTATTAAATACTGAATTTAATGAATATTTGATTTAAATTATGTGTTATATTTAACAGTGCGTGTAGTTGAATTAGAATTTTTGGAACTGTTAAGTTCTTAATACATTTCCAATGGGGGTTAAAATAGAAATATTGCCTTACGTTTTATGATTAAAAGTTTGTATTTTAAGTATTGTTTAACTTTACCACAGAAAATTAATTATTAAAACCTTGAAAGGTTATAAGTTTAATTGATTTTTTTTAAACAAATTTACATAGGTATAATTTATTTCTTACTTGTTGAAACATTAAATTATGAATTCACACTGAATCGTTTATATAAGTTTATAAAATATATTTCTAAAAATCTATGAAATAAATAAGACATAGTTAATTAGGTTCAATTCAAACCTATAACCATCCAAGGTTAAAACGTAGGGCAATTTATTGGGTCATTGTAAAATATGTGATTAATTTGAATTCAAAAAACTATTCAGCTATTCAGAACGAAGCTCAGTGTGTGTATGTGTATCAGCCAAGGATATTGAACATTACATATATTTATATTACTATTAGTAATAATAGGTAGATATAATTAATTTTTAAAAAACACATGTAATATTCATATCTATTATCCTAAAGATTTTGTTTGAATATTTGGGTTACAGTATGAAATATAAACTACTTACAAGTCTTAGGCTCTTGAACATTTAATTCATTTTACATTGATTTTATACCATTCAATTATAATTCAAAATATACTTTACAGAAAACCATAATATGACACTAAATGTACAACATAGACCACTTTTTTTGACCCTCAAAGTACAAACTAAAGTATAATATTACTCATATAACTATAAGTTAAAAACTTATGCTTTTTGACAGACAAAAAAAAAGCGATGACACGATGTAAAATCATCACTATTTAATCACTCTAATCCAAATCTAAATTTGTATTACCCAATTGAGATCCGGCACAAAACTTATCAACAGTCACAAATTGTTCAAATCCGTTTGTATACTTTTTTCGACAAGTTTCTTGGTCGATATATGGTAGTGATGTTTCTAATAAAACAGGACTTAATGTGCCTTTTTCCGTTTTTCCCCAACCAACAATCTGCAGTAAAGTATAAAATATTATTTAACAGATTATGTACAATCATAATATTATCATATAATATTTATGTCTTTTTATTTAATTATTTATACATTGTTGGTAATAAGTTCAATTAGTTCAATAAAGTCTGGCTTATCAAGTTTTTAATTTTAAAAATCGATCGAATAAGAAATAATAATAGTGTTTAGTAGTTTCACAAAAGTATTTTATTCTAGGTGCCGGTGTAAGACTTCTGTACAATCACGACGACTTAAAATGTTGGCCCATTCCGTCTAAATTGTTACGGGAAAATTGTTTCTATTGCAGAACTCAAATCTAAAAGTAATTTTAAGTTGGTTTTTTCAATTAGTAAGTTATTCTAAGAATCTTTGTGACGTGAATGAACTAAAGGCCTAGTTTGTCACAACTCCCCGGTTTATCCAAAGTAACACAACTACAAACCATAGACAGCAAATATACCTTTCCTTGAGCTCCATTCTGTACATGATATTTACGATTCCAATCGATACAAACAGGTGCAACATAATTGCTCATAGAAATTGTACTTGCTAATACAATGACAGCTATATCATCAACATGAAAACCGTTAGATCCGATATAACCTTCTTTCATGTAAATATGTTCCACCTTTATAAACGTTTTAATTTATATTTTTTGTATCATACCAATTATTTAATATCTCTAAATTATTAATAACTCACATTCATTATTTGGGTAAAGTCATTGTCAATTATTGTGAAATTTCTATCATATTTTCCAACAGCAATTTTGTATAGATTATCGTTTAATATGCTTTTGGATAACATACCTTTTTGCCAAAAACAATGAGCCGCTAAAAATATAATTTAATTAATTTTTATTCTTTCTTAAATACATTGAACAAGGCTTTTACCGGAGATGACTAAATTTGGAGCAATAATTGATCCCCCACATTTCAAGTCATAATTTTCGGAATTTTCTTCATTTAATTTATATATTCCAACATTCCAAGGTGCTGTTCCAGCCATTGCTTCTTGATTATCTTTTTCGGATATGATCTGGTTTTTAATACGTACTTTACCACAACCTAAAACAATATTATAGCTCTATATTTTGATGAAAAAGCGTCATCTTGGAAAACACATATTTAATATTAAATTTCATGTAGCTATTATTGTTTACCCATAGTAATATTTTTTCCATATTCGTATCGAGCACACAACGCTTTGGTCTCGTCCGAACCATCTAAACAATCTTTGCGACCATCACAAACCCACGACCATTCGATACACAGTCCATTTGAACAATAAAACTTATCATCGTTGTCTCTATAATTTTATTCAAATGTCAAACAAAGTATTATTATTTTATACTTAATACGATTTTAAGCAAATATGATTCATATTATATCAATAATAATCGAATTTTAAAAGTTGATATACATATATTCAACTGTACAATCATAAGTTGTGCCAAATCTAACGTTAATATAATATATAATATATAATAACCTTATTATTAATCTATCATCAGCCAGAAGTATAGTGTAAAATTCGCATGGAAAACGATTGACTGCTACAGGTACTATCGTTTTAAATAAATCAGACAGTGAACAATAAATTTTAGGTGATATGACAATAATAAGTCGCAAGTCTAAAAAATGTTTATAATTTAAAAACTATTGATATAAAAATAAAACAGATTTAAGATAATTATAATAATTAATTCGATTGTATAATTTTGCATAATATGAGATGTCCTATTCGGAGTAAAGTTTAATATTAGTAACAAAAAAATGAGAGTATATTAAATAATGTTAGTTTTTTACATAACAAAAAAGTGAAAATCAAAATTGTTTGATCCTCCTAACCTAGGAGTGGCTTTGTTACATCTTACATGATTTTTTTAAAGTATATTATCACACCTTGGGGGAATTTAGAGAGTTAGGGCATATTATGTAGCCAGTATTAATAATAAATAATAAAATATAGATCGTATTTGTTAAATGCTGATTATTAAGACTGAAGGCCTGGAACCTAATCCCAACAAACACTGTTTATGACACTTATAACAAGATAATATGTATTTATACAATAGTTACCAACATTGAACAAGAATCATCACCATCTCCTTCACACAAAATCCCGGATCCTGAAATAATGAATTATTATGCATTAAATACGTTAACAATATTTAAAGGATAACCTATTAATATTATTATTTATTGTAACTTATTTGCAGTTTTGGATTCAATAATATCATACCTATATGAGGTAATATACTGTAATATTATATTATATGTATCATGCATTTGTGAGTAATATGTGCGGTGGCAGTCTTCCATTTAATAATAGTGGATGAGGGAACAAAAGCTTTGAAGAATAAAGTGTTTAAAAGTAACCACAATCAGAGTTCACTCGCAAACTATTTTAATTACAATTTTAGTCTGGTGACAATCGCTTTCTTATATTATTTTACATAATTATTATATTATATTATTATGAGAACAAATTATTAACATTTGTTTTGTTTAAATCTATCAAAAAAATATATTAATGAGTGGTTGTTTTATATTTAGAATTTTTATTATGTCAGTTTATGATAAATTTATACTAGTGTATATTTGTATATACATGGTATATAGGTTGCATACCGATCATTATGTTAGAACTTAATAAATATATAAATAAGTATTCGTTTTTATTATGGCAATTATTTCTCAGTACCCATATATTATACAATCGTATTGTATTATTTCAAAATTATAAATATAGATAATAGGTAGTAAAACGTCTTATGAACCATTCTACCTGGTGTCTTTTAAAGACATCTATTTGGAAAATGGCCTACCTTGCCACCACTTCCTCAATCATGACAATAGAAGTCAGCGAATCTGATGAGACTTTGATATATTCAACTTTTTGTTTTATATGAACAGACAGTGTTGTATTCAGTAAAAAAACATGTCTATGTCTTAATTTAATAAATAAACTAAAAAAAATTTTTTTATCGGGTACCTAATTTTTTTTTACCCTTATTTATACTTTGACGCACCAACAATTTGTTTTGTTATTTCACATAAAAGAATTTATTAGTAATTATGTCATAAGAAGTGATCGTATGTATTACTTTTAATAACAAAATTGTTATATTAAACTTTAATTAAAGAGATTATGCGAAATGCCAAAATATCATCTCCGAAATTATATTTTGGTATACAGTAGATTCATAATAAATCGAAGTTGAAGAAGGATAACAATTCTTTTCGAGATACCTATAACTATTTGAGTGTTATGAGAATTTCTAGAAGGATAAAAAAAAATTGTGTTGTCAAGTTTTTGGAGTTTTTGAGGTTCGAGCTATCGCCACTTGGCTGTAATTGATTTCTTAAAATATTAATATTAATTATTATATAAATTAATTACGCACATTGATCTATTACCTTAATTAAAAAATTTAATCTGAGAAAATTAAAAACTGTATTTGTATAAGTAGTTATTTTTATTTTTATAAATCGGGTTGTAATTCAATTTTGTTTTATCAGTATAACTATACGACAGATTATTGTTTTCGATAAATATCCGGTTATATATTTTATTGTAATATTGTAATATAGTAATAAAGTATTTAAAGCTCTTTAATGTACATGAATTTATTTACTATATTGTTAGCCTTAGCATCTATTGAATATTTTAATATAATAAATATTATACTAAATACTAACATAATATCATTAAAATTTATGAATTTCGATTTATTATTGTATTGTTAACAGCGATATTACGTACCAAAAAATAAACATGAATATATTAACCAAGTATACGTTGCCTTCATTGTCAACGATGAGCTGAGATTAAATCGAATATATTTAAAAAATAAAAACAATGAATGTTTATACAATATACATTTTATCAAATTAAAGTCACTATACACTGCACAATATTTTATAATACATTTTTGAACATAAAAATAATCCAAAATATTTTATGCTGATACTACCAATACTGGCAATATCTGTAGAGAATGTATAAATGTTTACAGCACTAGAGTTCTTTACACTTTATATCGGATCTTCTGAAAATTTGAACCACTATTGTATGATGCTGATAATTTGTAGTCGGTTTGGTATTATACATATACATCTTACTATATGAGATCAGATGAATAGATGATCGAAGGTCATACTACGTAGAAGGCGGCAATGAAAAAATGTTGAGTTACTAACTTGTTTTGAAATTTATTTTAAAGATTCTACCACTGCGTCAATACATCTTATGAGTTTTCGACGTTATAAGCACATTATGTACGATTATGTATAATAAAAATTGTTCATTGTTTGATTATATCTTGTAACTATTATGGACTGTGCAATCATATAAGGTAGTCCTAAATGGTAATAAGTCGTTTCTATAGAACATTTAGAATCAATTTAAATTCCATTATGCAGTTACACATTAAATACGTATCAAACACAAAATACAATATTAATTGTAAATTCTAACAGATTATAGATCAATTCTATTCATTTATCGTGTATTATTATATCGTGGGTAAAGAATAATTGGGTAGAGACGTACCAATAAAGCTTATCACTTGGTGGTTAGCGTCACGGGTAATAATAGATAAATAAGTTTAACATTTTGTCATTCTTTGTTCATAAAATAATATTATATTATATTACATTTCGTATTCATGCTTTTAATTTTGTACTTAAGGGTACGCCAGTGCATTTAATTTCTCTTTCTGACCCACTCTCAACATCGCAAATCTTACGTTTACAATAATGGTTGTAATCATAATATTTTTATCAAATAAGAGTGGAATGATCTCTTATACAATTTAAAGGTAAGATTATTATCTAGGGCATCTTATAGAATTTTTTATCAAATTTTAATTTTAAACCGAGTTATGAGCATGTTAAGATAGATTTACCTACAAACAATTTACAATTTTAAGATAACCGGCGTTATTCGTTGCTCGGGAACACTAATGATATTCAGGATTTTAATATTAAAAATAAACACATATATGTATACTGATCCAAATAATTGTCAATACATACAAATGTATTATTACTTACGAACAAAGCTTACCAAAAGTGGGCCACTCTTGGAGTTGAGGTGTGCTTGATGGTAATCTGCCGTTCTGTAACACATTGGTATTTGGCCGCATGTAATATATATGTATTATGTATATATAATATGTACCTATTGTAAATGTTACATGACGTTTGACAGATGTTTCTTGTACCAATCTCAAATGTTATTATTTTGTTCCGATAGATATATTTCCATATTCTTAAAATTCGGTACTATGACGTATTCATACCACACGGCGTAATAAATAGACAATAGTTGTCTACGCCAATGCTTTGGGTTATTTTTCAGTACATCATATTATTTACTAAGAATACTGTAGAGTGTAGAGTAAGATAATATTATGGTTAAAAATTGGTGTGTCAAGTTATTCCTTATCCTGCACTGACAACTTCACCTGTGAAAAATTAAATCCCTGATTATTTACTTCTACTTAACTCGGTTTCACTTAAACTGCATTGCTTCTTAACCATGTTGTTTGATTGTTTTTATCACAAAGAAAGTACGAATTTAAAACTATATGTCTATATCCAATCGTTATAACTCTTTACCGTGTAATAAAATAGGTATCTGTGAAATCTCTGTCAAAATCGGTTCATCCATTTCAAAGCCATTCCCAGAGAAGCAGATAGACAGCCATAATATGTATCTGTGTAAGTTTCATGAAATATCACATTTAATCTTGTATTTTGGGCACCCACATCATAGGTATATAAAATGTTCAGTTCTTATAATTTGTGATACGAATGAAATAAAATCATCGTAAGTTGACAAAAGCGGTTATGAACGAACACAAACCTTTTGTATTACCCTAAGTATGTTGTATTATTGATATTAAAGAAATTAATTTTACAGTTGATAATACAGTAAGCTGAAATAATTCTTCTCAAAAACATTACATTTGAAAATTTCGTTGTGTGTATCTTTATTTATTTATTTTTTTTGCTTTTCCAGACTCTTTTGAAAACTTTTGAAATTTCAATTTTTACCTATTAAAAACTATTTATGTAAATGAAACTGAGCTACGCTTAAAATTAAAAATGAGATCATATTTTTATTGCAAATAGTCAATTTTCTAACCAGTTAAAAATTAAGAATTTCCTAAATAAAAACAGCCAACTATGTCTATATCAAGTTTCTATAATGCATCAAACATTGTATAATAAAATATTGCAAATCGTGTCCAATCATAATAACTATTTAATTTTTTTAACACAATTATATATAAATACAAAAAAAATGATTTTTGGTTGTGAGCTTGTGAAACAAAAATTCTAGTGTCAGCCAATATACAAAATAACAAATTTGTAAAATCCATTCTTATCGCATCCCTACACTATTCAATAAATATATTACACCAAAAAATCAAGGGTCCAGTGATTTGGTCAGGGAATTGATACATTTGCATAATAATATATATAGATTATAAGTAGGACTCGGATTTAAATATCCTAAAAATATTAAAAAATGCCCTTTTAAAAAATGCATTTATGACCTAAAAACTTTAAAAAATGCCCTAAAAATATCAAAAAATGACCTTTCAAAAAATGTATTATTTATTAAATAAATTCAAATTAAATTATGACTATCCGTAGAAAACACATCACTGCAATATTCTCTTACATATCCAAAATATTGTGGTTAGATCGCGAAGTACTTAATACATATTTGCAGTTTGGAAAGCATCGCGTAAGATATCCCCCCCCCCCAAAAAATGCAAATGCATTGAAATCCGAGCCCTAATTATAAGTATTAACATAAATTATCATGTAGAAAGCAATTTATGCTTGGTTTTTTTGCCACTAAGTAGATTTATACCGAAGAAATCTTTATACCTTCGTTAACCGTTAATGTTACCATTTGTAACAATGTTGATCATTGACCAACTAACAAGTTGACTTATATTACCACTATAATAGTTACAACATCAGATTTTTTTTCTCATGTGGTCTGTATAAACATATTTAGTCGTTAAAAATAATTTAAAAAATGTATGATCCCTAAAATATGTAAGTTTTGAAACAGAAGTTGTCATTGACAAAAAATAAAATGCATAAAAAGTAATCAAATTAGTAGTTATATTTCAAATTTAAAATGCAATACCTCCGCGCCACGAGATAAGTAACCCGTATCTCAAACAAATTGCTTTCAAATACACGCATTCACCCCCTATTTGACATAATATCAACGTTGCACGATGTCACAATTAAATTGGCACGCCACAGCGTCACACTAAATGACAAAAGTGGAGGAAATGAGGCCTCGTAACAGTCGCTGCCTTTAATCTGCATGAACGAAACGGGTTACTTCTCCCGTGGCGTAAGTATACTAATGTTTTTTAAAACAATTAACGTACAACGTAAAATTGGTACATGCTATAAACCATTTGAGTTTAGTATGTGTTAACTATGTATATAATGCTTAGGCACTACCTGTGTATTATAAAATATGTATTATGTTTAATTTAAATAAATTATTTAATGAATTGTTAAAAATTGTTACATATTATTAGTAAATACCTTTTATATCATAATATCATTAATATTTAATACAAGTATTGATATCAATTACAATCAGAACAAATTATTTTAATAATATTACTATAATCTTAATGAATTAGTTATGTTTGTTATACAGTTCACGAATCCATTGAATGTGGTACTTAACTTCTGTAAACACAGCGACTGAGTTATTTGTATTTGGATCCTTTACACTCAACACTCCGGTTAAATAATAAGAATTAGAGTGTAAAAAGCATAAGCCAGCACCGCTATCTCCTTTACCCGCTATTTGACCTGTAGGTACATTACATATTTACATTTTTAATTAACAATTATGCACAAATATTATAATATTACAAGTAAAATATATGGTATTGTAGATATAACACGTGGCAGGTTTGGTTTGAAACTATATTAAGTGGTATCTTGTCACACGCTCAGGACAACTACACTCCATCAGTGGAATATGTAGGTCATTCAAATTATTGTTAGCCAATAACATAACAAATTTCAAGCCATAAATATTATTGATAACATAATTACAAATTAAAAATATATACTTTGATTATCAAATTTTTAATTAACCACTGAATAATCTACTTCCAAACAAATCGTATAATTAAACCACATCAGAAAATCGCTACTGTTATAATACTACAGACGGCTAATACCTATAATGAATTTTACAGGCTATTAACATCATAATAACATAATACGAATATAATACAAAAAACAATATAATGATACAAGTTAAATAAATATTATTTTAGCTACATATTTTATGTATATAGAAACGATTTGAGAATCAAATTTCGCTATATTGACAAAAATGTCGAGAGTCAGAAAGACGAATAAAAAATGACTATCACACGGATCTCAGTGGGGTATACAAGGTGATTCACCACCAAGCATGCTCACCACTTCTTTTCTTCAATAATGCGACTATTCAAAATCTGATTTTTTAAATTTTTTAATATACCTACTTAAAGACCATATTTTCAAATCCTTGAGCTTTTTTGTACTACTAACGGAGTATCTTGTGGAGATACAAACTTCTATTTTTCAAATGAGAACACCAATATTGAACTATATATATTACAATATAATAGTTCATTTTTCTAAAATTTTTGATTAATCAAAATCAAAATTCGTATGGGTAGTTTTTGAGTTATTTGAGTTTTTGTTCTAAGAATAAAGTTAATAGTAATGAGTTAATGAGATGCGGCGGCTATGATGATATGAAAGTCATTAGTATTATTGTATTGACCTTAATAATTTGTATAAATGTTGTGTAAAACCAATTTTAGGGACTATTATCCTTAATACAAATATTTTAATAACTAAGAAACCATTCGTTTGAATTTTGAATACAGAATATCAAAATTTTCCAAAATATTATCCACTAATTGATTTATGGTAAAAGAGTGGGTTATCATTTGAAAAACAGAAATTTGTATCATCACAAGATACTCCTTAGGGTACAAAGAAATTTAAGAATATGAAAATATGGTATTTAAATATATTTAAAAATTCTAAAAATCAGAATTTGAATAAATTCATCATTACAGGTGAAGTACCCAGTATATTAGTTATATATGTACTGTAATTATGTTTTCTTCAAGCCTGACCAATTTAATCATAATTTTGAATTCAGTTAAGCTATAAGTTGTAGAAAACATTTTAAAAAGCTTAAAGTTAATAGTAATCCTAATTTTTTTTTAACTTGAACAAAATAAAGGTTATAATATAGAAACTAATATATAACTCATAAACGCATTAATTTCTTTTTCAAATATATAATTTCCACCTAAATGGTTTAAAATATTAAAAAGTAAATTTTATGCAATATGTATCATATAAATAATAATTTTATAATAATTTTATAATATTTATTATTATAACTATTTATAATTTAACGAAATTGGATAAGATTAAAAGTAACTCGTTATTTATTGAGTGTATAGTTGATGTCAATAAAAATGAATCGCAATTAGTTTACAAAATGTTGGCATGTTTTTAGAATCGATCAGATAAAGTCGAAGGGCTGCGTAAAATTGTCCCCTCTTATAGTTTATAGTATTTTAAAGACATATTTGCAAATTCAAAAGAACAATTTCAGTTTATTTCCAATTAGTTTGCAAAATATTAACATATTTTTTGAAGTGATTAAACAAAGTTGGGGGGCTATGTATTGGTCGAAAGATTAGTAGAAATACATTTTATATCCTCAAACTAAAATTACAATGTAATTTATACTTTAATAAAAATTAAGTTCATCTTCATATTTATTTTATTACCTGATGTAGAACCGGCACAAAACTTATCAATAGTCACAAATAGTTCAAATCCGTTTGTATACATACTCCGACAAGAACTATGGTCGATGTATGGTAACGATGCTTCTAATAAAATAGGACTTGGAATGTCTTTATCCGTTTTTCCCCAACCAACAATCTGTAAAAGTATAAAACAGTTGTAGGTATAGTTATAATTTATAGCTTTTTACGTGACTGTTGGGAATGTGTATAATTACTAATTAGTCATTAGTAAAATTAAATATGACTGATGGAAGTTTTTTAAGAATAGTCTTTAGTTATTTTACAGTTTACTTTAAAAAATTTATTTTTAGTACTTGTGTATAATGTATCCTCCAATATTTATGCAAATTTGAGCAGAAAATCTCGAGGTTTATGCACTTTGTGCAACCGTAATTTATTGTAATTAATTCACAATTGTAGTATTTAAATAATATTGAAAACCAACCTTTCCTTGATCACCATTGACTACATTGTATTTACCATTCCAATCGATACAAACAGGTGCAACACCATTACTAAAAGAAATTCTGTTTTTTAACACCATAACTGCTATATCTTCAGCATGAAACCCACTGGGCCCATAATAACCTTCTTTCAGGTGAATAATGTCCACCTGTACAGTTGTTTTTAAATTATACTATTCATATTATTCATATTTTATTATTACTTTGAATCCTTAATAACTTACATTTATTATTTGAGTAAAGTCATTGTCTATAATTGAAATATTCCTATCATATTTTCCAACAGCAACTTTGTATTGGCCGTCATTTATTGATATTGTCTTAGATGACATTCCTTTTTGCCAAAAACAATGAGCAGCTAAAAATGATATTTATTTAATTTTCATTAGTTGTCAAATTCGTTTTACAAAGATTTACCAGAAATTATTAAATTTGGAGAAATAATTGATCCTCCACATAACAAATTATAATTGGAATTTTTTTTATTGAATTTATATATTCCAGCATTCCACGGAGCTGTCCCAACCATCGATATTATACCATCATCTGTTAATAATTCGTTTTCAATGTATAGTCTACCGCAATCTAAAATAGTATTTGAATATCAATAAAAAAGATCATAAGCAATAAATAATAATAATACATAGAAAATGGACATAATGATGATTGTTTAAAAATTTACAACAAACGAGTATGCATATAAGTTATTGATATAACCAACAAATATTCTATACCTAAACGATAGTAAACTATTATCAAAAATCGGACTTATGATGTATAAATAAGTAATTATTACGACATACGAATCAATATATAATACTTACTAATACACAATTTCTCAGAATTCGATAACCATTTTCCTTTTCCTTGACAAACCCTAAAACCATAAGGATAAGCCTTGTGATATCCAAATTCACAGTTCTCGATAACAGTAACATTATGATTAATCAATGAGCCGTGAGATAACATTTCATTAGAACCTTCATACGAATATACAACTCCTTTAACTTTTGGTAAAACGCATAGTTTTCCTATGACCTGTCAAAACCTTACATGTTAAAAATATACATTCTATCTTAAAGTATTTTACATACGTGTTTGTTTAAGAGTCCACGAATCCATTGAACATGGTACTTAATATCCGTAAAAACTATGATTGAACCGTTTGTATTCGGATCCATCAAACAAGCTACACCGGTTAGATAATAAGAATCAGAGTGTATAAATGATAAGCCCGCTCCGCTAAATGCTACATTTTCTTTTTTTCCTGAAACTTGAAATATTTTATACATAAGACCAATTAAACATATTTTTTTTTGTGTATAAAGGTGCACAGACTGGAATTCATTAAAATTTCAGGAGTAATGGGGTTCAATTTTTTTATTTAATTACAATTTAACTCCATTCACCGATTTACACTATAGTATTTAAGAAATAACAGAATTAACAACTAATCGGTCAAAAACATTTAAAAATAACATACATAAAATAAGTGCGTGGCTTGTTATAAGTGATAATTGGTTATTATTGGTTAAGGCCATCATACATGGCGTTCTCGGCAAAGAGTGAACAATTCACTAGCAATTAAGGGAAAAACAATAGTCTAAATAATGTTATTTTGGACACAAATTCGAAATCGCTCTAAAAGGCGTGAGGCATCCAACAGTCAATAAATATTGGCCTTTATATTGAATGAGCTCGAATGAGCACAACATTTTGTACGGCGATGTAATAATAGTTCTAGACAGAGTAACTCACTCATAGTCCCGTATACTTATATATTGTACATGGATAATATTTAGGCTGTACCTATACCTACGAAACTGAGAATCTGGGTTTGCATATTATTTTTAAATCAATGTGAGCCGTCGGGGAAGACAAGTTCTGTGACAAAACTAAACAGCTGTCTTCTTAGAAAGAGGGACTAATGGGTTACAAGTGGTTAGAAATTAGAATACAGATTTACATTATTAAATACCGAATTTAATGCATTTTTGATTAAAATTATTTTATGTTATATTGAACAATGTGTGCAGTTGAATTAGAGTTTTTGGAAATATTATGTTCCTAATACATTTCCAATAGGGTTTGGCAACAGAAATATTAGCTTACATTTCATGATTAAAAGTTTGTATTTAAAGTATGTTTGAACTTAATAATTTAATATTGAAAGGTTATAGATTTGATTGATTTTTTTAAAACAAACAGGTACAAATAATTTATTTGTTACTGGTTGAAATATTGAATTAATTAAATTATGAATTCACATCAAATCATTTATGTGATATTACAAAATACATTTCTAAAAATCTATCATATATAACAGACATAACTAATTAGGTTCAATTCAAACTTATAACCATTTAAGGTTTGAATAACCATTTTATGTTTAATACAATTAAGTCACTGTAAAATATGTGATAACTTTGATTTCAATGATAATATATCATAATTGTATTTAAAATACTATTCTGAACGGAGATTAGTGTGGGTGTGTGTAAGCCAAGGATATTTAATATTATATTTATATTATAATTAGTAAGGATATGTAGGTAAATAGAATTCATTTTTGCAAAAATCTGTTAGGTTACAGTGTGAAACATAAGCTACCTACTTACGAGGTAGCGTTATACTAAATGTTGAAACTTAAAATACCTAACTATAAAAATAAAACATTTTATACAATTCTATTTAATATTACTTAGGTTTAATAATAAAATTAATTACATTTATAGCGATAAAATTATAAAATATATTAAGGTGATAAGACCGTCTTTGTTCAGAATCATTTTTCGTATGCAATTATTTTATACCATTAACTTCAAATTTAACACATCCATTACAGTTACTCACATAACAGCTATATTGTACAGCAAAGATCATTATTTCCACCTATGTTGACCTTCAAAGTACCAACTAGATTCAGTTTTTCAGTAAAAAACATCATCAGAGTTAAAAATCAATGATTTTTGACACACACAAAGAGAAGCGACGAGTCGCTATAAAATCAACACTTTCACACTTCAATCCAAATCTAAATTTGTATTACCCAATTGAGATCCGGCACAAAACTTATCAACAGTCACAAATTGTTCAAATCCGTTTGTAAACATTTTTTGACAAGTTTCTTGGTCGATGTATGGTAAAGATGTTTCTAGTAAAACAGGACTTAATGTGCCTTTTTCCGTTTTTCCCCAACCAACAATCTGTAAAATTATGACAGCCTTATTATATACAATTATAATCATCGTAAAATATTAATATCTTAACGTGTAATTATTTACGTATTGTTTTTAATAAGTTCAATTAGTTCAATCAAGTCTGACTCATCAGATTTTTAATTTTAGAAATCGATCGAATATATAAATTGAAAACAGTGTTTGGTATTGTATTTTATTCTGTGTTCCAGTGTAAGCCCTCTATAGCACTTGCGATGACTCTTAATGTTATTCCATTTCGTTTTTTAATTGCGACGTAATAATTGAATATTAAAGAGCTCAATCTGAATGTAATTTAAAGCTGTTTTGGGAATTAGTAAATCATTCAGAAATAAATTGTGACGTAAATTAACTTAAAGTTCTAACATGACACAATACTCCCCCAGTTTGCTTAAAGTTTATCGGACGAATTTTAAGTTATACAGCTTATTTCGTAACTTATTTAAAGTTGAATTTCAGAATTTCATATTTTATCAAATTGCAGTTATCTCCAAAATGCAACTGTGTGGCTAAATAAATCAACCATAAGCTTTCTCCACTTTGCAAAAATTACATGAGATAACCAAATTCAAATTATATTTTATATAGTTAATATAACTACCAATAACTACACTACAGCAAATTTACCTTTCCATGAGCTTCATTATGTTCATTATATATATGATTCCAATCGATACACACAGGTGCCACATAATTACTTAAAGAAATTGTATTTGCTAATACAATAACTGCTATGTCATTAGTATAAGACCCAGTAGGTCCATAATAGTTTTCATTCAAATAAATCATTTCTACCTGCACAATTATTAATTTTGCTTTATATTAGGCACATCATACAAATTATTTGTAAATTGTGAATTAATAAAACTTGCATTGATTATTCGAGTAAACACATCGTCAATTGTTGTTAAATTCTTATGATATTTTCCAACTGCAATTTTGTATAGATTATCATCGTTTATTGATATGGTTTTGGATAACATTCCCCTTTTCCAAAAACAATGCGCCACTAAATTTGTTGTTCAATTAATTTCCATTTCCTCTTAAATACATTGCAATAAACTTTTACCAGAAATGACTAAATTTGGAGCAATAATTGATCCTCCACATATCAAGTCATAATTGGAATTTTCTTTCTTTAATCGATATATTCCAGCATTCCACGGAGCTGTTCCAACCATTGCTTCCTTATAACCTTTTTCGGATGCATCTTGATTTTTAATATGTACTCTACCGCAATCTAACAAAATGTGAGAAGCTCTATTTAGATTTAAATGAGTACCTCTAGAAAAACTCATAGTTAATATTAAATATTATAACATCATTATTTTTTACCCATAGTCTTATTTTTTCCATATTCGAATAGAGCACACAGCTCATGGGTCTCGTCTGAACCATCTAAACAATCCTTACGACCATCACAAACCCACGACCATTCGATACACAGTCCATTTGAACAATAAAACTTATCATCGTTGTCTCTAAAATTGTATTCAAATGAATTTTCAAATTATTTAATATTAATTGTTCAATTGAAATTAAATTATATGAATATTAATCAGATTTTAAGGGTCGGTAAACATATTAAAAACTACAAACCAAAATGTGACAATGACAAATACAATAAGTCTTATAATAATATTATGACTTATCTGTCTGGAAAGTGTATGTAATTTAAAACCATAATAAGTATAATGCAAATTAAAGATAATTATAATAAACAGTTCAATTGAATTTATGATTTATAATAATATGGTACTTTCTATTCGTAGTTAACTTTACTTTAGTAAAACAAATGAGAGGATAGTTGTAGATAAAGTCAACTTTTTTAACATTATAAGTAAAAACTAAAAATAGAAGTGATTTTGGTCCTCCTAAACTTATTCCAAGTAACTCCAGCTTCATTACATGATTTTTTCATTATTAGTATAATACTTTATTCCTCCATCCCCTAACTACCATCATTTTTGCTACTTATAATAAAATAAAATGTATTTATACTACAGTTACCAACATTGAGCAAATATTAGCATCTTCTGTGTCACTGAAAATTCCGGATCCTGAAATAATAATTTGATTTTAATTAAATACAAAAATCATTTTTAGAGGATTAATATTTTTATTTATTGAACTGCATTTGCGGTTTTTGAAAGAAAATATATCATATACATCAATAATATTTTTCATCATTGCAATGTCTCGTGCATTCGTGCGTAACATTTATGATGGCAGCATTCAGTTAGTAGTTGTAGGTGCAGAAGAACAAAAGTTTTGACCAGCTAATAAAGTGTAAAATAAATCACACGTTTCACTCGCAAGCTACTTACTACTTACAATTTGTATCACAATATAGTATAGTATAGTATAGTATTATAGTATGTATAGTCGTCAATACATTTTATGTACATAGCAAATAATCATCGCATGCTGTTTGAACTTATAAACTATGAATAAGTATTATTTTTTATTGTGGCAATTATTTACAATAGCACCTACTGAATATATAATATAAAATTGTATTGTATTTCTTCAAAATTATAAAACCAATAAAAGTAACATTTCTTAACATGAACTAGCCTACCTGGTTGCATTTAAAGAAATCTATTCAGAATATAGCTCACCTTACCACAACTTCTACTGAAATGACAATAGAAGTCACTGAATCTATAAAAATATTAATACTACTTTTTGTTTTAAATAAACAGTGTTGTGTTCAATAAAAAAATACATCAATAAGTATTAATTGTACATTCATGCTTAAAAATAAAGTGACATTATCATGTTGCTATTTTCTTTACCTTACATATCCTTTGATGCATCTACAATTTGTTTTCTTATTCACATTATAATAGTTAAAAGAAATAATGTCATACCACCATTACCACCTATTTATAAGTATTACTTTTTGTAACAACATTTCTAATTCTAATTAAGATATAATACAAAATATCATCTCTGAAATTACATTTTGTTATACAGAAGATTTGGGATAACTCGAATTGAAGGGATATAAAAATTTTTGAGATACATAATAAATTGAGTGTTATAAGAATTTTTAGTGGGATAAAAAAAAATTGTGTTTGAAAAGTTGTTTGAGTTTTTGAGGTTCCAAGTATCGACACTCGATTATAGTATTAATTAATTTCTTATATTATATAAACAATGTTTTTTATTATTTTAATTAAAAATTAAATATTAGAAAATTAAAAACTGTATTTATTTTATAGTTATTTTTATTTTTATTAATTGGTGTGTACTTAAATTTTGTTCCATCAGTATATTTATACGATGGATTATGGTTTTCAACAAATTTCAGGTTATAAATATTGTTATATTGTATTCAAAACTTTACGATGTGCATGAAATTATTAATTAAATTTTTTGGCTCTATTTAATATTTTAATATAATACATATTAGAGTAAGTACAAACATAATGTTCATCAAAACATGATTTTCTTGTGTTAATATAATATTGTTGATAGTGATACTACATACCGAAAAATAAACATGAATATATTAACCAGGTAAACGTTGCCTTCATTGTAAATGGCGACTCTTGAGCTAAGATTAAACTAAATTTATTTAAAAATAAAAATAAAAACAATAAACGTTTATATCTACATAAATGTTATCAAATTAAAGTCACTAACATTAAACAACATTGTAAAGAAAATTTTCTAACATAAAGCAAAATATTCTGTACCAAGATAGTATAACTTCATTAAACATAATGCGTAGTCAGTTTGTTTTCATGTACCTCTTACTACCTATATGAGGTCGCATGGTCCAAGGTCATAATACGTACACCAAAATTGTATGATGAGTTATTAACTGGTTTTAAAATTTATTTTTTGGATCCCAACGATACGTAAAACATACCTTAAGGTTTTTTGAAATAAATATAGGTACCCTTTAATAAAAAAGTGCCAAGCTATTTAAATTATCTAGGACTAATACAATATGTATATAATATTTTGTGTAGAAAATACAGTCGTACAATATATACAAAAACACACCTTATAAAATGTTTGTATACTTAAATAAATAAATATATTATAGAAAACATTTTACATTGTTATATTATATTTTGTATCTTATAATAAATTATTATAAGCTGTGCAATCATAAAAGATATTAATAAATGACAATATCTCGTGTCCATACAAAATTGAAAATAAATTTAAACTCCAATATACAGTAACAGCAAAATGATCACCATTATCCAGCATAGCGAACAAAAAACATAATATGAATTATAAATTGTATTAGATTATGGTCAAATCCCATTAAATTACCATATATTATTAGAAATATTGCGATTAAAGAATAATTGTTTAGAGATGTACGAAAGTGTATTACTCGGTGTTTTGCGTCACAGGTACTCAAGTAAATATACAAATTTAGAATAGAAAACATAAACCTTGCAATGCTTTGTTCATAAACTATAATATTATACAATATTTTGCATTCATCGGTTGCTTTGAATTTCGTACGTAACTATCAGTTAGTATTTACAAAAATATCGATTACTGTTTTCTTTTTCGTATCAGTACTATTGTGTCAGTGTTATGATTATTTTATTTTCAACGATCCTAAATCCGATCTGATCACTGATGGATAGAGAGTATCTGTTCATTCTCTATTCAGTGAACATTGCTGGCATAATAGAATATAAGTGTAATAAGATTGCCTTACCTCGTATACAGATTGAAACAAATTTAAATCATCTAAATTACTACAATTTAAATAAATTTAAAAAAGAATTTATAAAAAAGAAAATGTTATTTGTTTACGAAACGAAATTCAGCCTTACAAGTTAATTAGTGTTACCACTATGGTCAAAAGTCACGACATCGTCTTATTTCGTCATGTGGTCAGTATTAGTTGTTAAAAATATTTTTGATAACAAGTATTACAATTATTTGTTAATTCAAATTCAAAGTAAAATATTTTGAAATAATTTTAATACAAGAAATATACAATTCAAATTTTGTAAATACCAAATAAACTATTCGAATTTCATATGTGTAAACTATATATTATTTAATGCTACCTATATTATATGTTTAATTTAAATAAACAATTGTAAGAGGTGTTGAAAATTGTTACACGTGGGTGAAATTAATTTATAAAAATATTGATAACAATTATGCAATTAGAATAAATTATCATAATAACATTTTCATAATCTTATTGATTTAGTTATATTTGTTATACAGTTCACGAATCCATTTAAAGTGGAATTTAACATCTGTAAATACAGCGATTGAATTTTTTGTATTTGGATCCTTGATACTCACTACTCCGGTTAAATAATAAGAGTCATTTTGAAAAAAGCATAAGCCAGCGCCACTGTCTCCCTGACCCACTCCTTGCCCTGTTACTAAAAATATTTTATACATTATATCTGCTTTAATTGATCAGTAATTTTAAGGTATTGATACTAAATATTTAATTACCAGACTCAGAACCAGCACAAAACTTATCAACAGTCACAAATGGTTCAAATCCGTTTGAATACATATTCCGGCAAGAACTATGGTCGATGTACGGTAGAGATGCTTCTAATAAAATAGGACTTGAATAGCCTTTTTCAGTTCCTCCCCAACCAACAATCTGTAAATGAATAAAACATTTGTACAATTTACAATTATAATTCACGTAAATAATTTATCGCTTGTTATGCATGTGTAAATAAGTAAAATTAATTCTAACTGATCGAAGTTTTTTCAAAATAATCTTAAGTGCTCTAACAGTTCTAATTGTAAGGTTTTACTTTTAGTTATGTATGGCAAGAATTCATTATTTATGCATACTTCAGAAGAGAATCTCACGGTTTATGCTCTTTATATATAAATGGATGATTATCGATAGTGATATGCATAGACGCATTTTGATGGAGGGGACTTGGAGGGGCTTAGCCTCTCTAATATTAAAATTAGCCCCGCCAAAAATTTATATTTTAATTGAAGTATTAAATCCTTCATTAATTATCTAATCTACATATACAGTAAATGTTGTTTGAAAAAAATTGTTTCTAAAGTTTGAATCTAGAAACATGAAACAAGCACGTGCGAGGTGAAAGACGCAGAGCTTTATAATAATTTATATAAACTGTTATCATTATCTTTGATAATTCCAATTAGTTCTGCAACATATGAAAGATCATCTTAGCAATGAGAAAGATTAAAAATTGACTTCGAACATTTATGAATCAAGATAGATTTACAAATTTGTCATTGATTTATATGGAACAAGATTTATCAAATGAATTGTCCAACGAAAAAGTATTAGATAAATTTGCAATTTCTACCCAAAGGTTCCAATTATAATAATATACTTAATAAATAAATATATATTAGATATTTTATTTAATTAAATGTTGTTATTTTTTTCATATAAATATTTTTAGTGTTATAATTGATGCATTATAATATATTAAATGTAGGAAAGTAGGTGAGAAAATATGATCGTCATAGCCCCTCCAACTTAAAAACTGAAATTACGCCTATGGTGATATGTACAACAGCCATTAATTGTAATTAAATCTCTATATTTTTATAATATTTAAATAATATTGCAAACCAACCTTTCCGTTATCTCCATTGCTTACATTGTATTTAAAATTCCAATCTATACAAACAGGTGCAACACCATTACTAAAAGAGACTCTTTTTTGTAACACAATAATAGCTATATCTTCTGCATGAAACCCAATGGGTCCATAATAACTTTCTTTCATGTGAATCATTTCCACCTGTATAATTGAATTAATTTATATTACACATATAATTGCAAATAATTGTAGAATTTTGAATTATTAATAACTTACATTAATTATTTTTGTAAAGTCATTGTCTATAGTAGTAAAATTCCTTTCATATTTTCCAACAGCAACTTTGAATTGACCATCGTTTATTAATATTTTCTTAGACAACATGCCATTTTGCCAAAAGCAATGAGCAGCTAAAAAATATATTTATTTTAATTATTAATTTATACTAAAATTCGTTGTACAAAGATTTTACCAGAAACAACTAAATTTGAAGAAATAATTGATCCTCCACATATCAAGTCATGATTGGAATTTTTTTTATTCACTTGATATATCCCAGCATTCCACGGAGCTGTTCCAACTCTTGCTCTTTTACCATTTTCTATCAATACTTGGTTTTCGATATAAACTCTACCGCAATCTAAAATAATTTTTAAATATAAATGACAGTATTTGATGAGTAATGATTTCTATAGAATAAATGAATAATGGATACGGTTTAAAAATGTACATACAATAATTATGCATAAAAAAAATGTTTTGTTTTTTATTAATTTTATCGTAAAACAACCAAAACAATTTGGTTATAGTAAAAGTTAGTGAGTCATTAAAATATAAATTATCTTAACAATTTATTTTCATATGACAAAAAATACAATTACATGGATTGCAACTATATAGCTGTTTATTCCACGTCCCATTAGACTGACAAAGTAGTTCAAGTGGAGTCTCTTCTTGTCCATTAGGTGCAGAATATGTTGGCTTACATGATGGCGTTGCTATTGTATCTGGTATTGATACATTTGAACAATTAGCATACTTTCCATTTAAAGTACATTTAATATTTAAACTATCTGATTCTAGAGGTGGACACATTTCTGGAAACGTAAATAAATTATTATCAAACAGAAACACACTTTTAAGTTTAATAACATAAATTAATAAGTAAATATTACGACAAACAAATCACTAAATTATAATACTTACTGAAACACAATTTCTCAGAATTCGATAGCCATTTTCCTTTTCCCTGACAAACCCTAAAACCAAAGCGGTAAGCCTTGTGATATCCAACTTCACAGCTCTCAATTACAGTAACATGATGATTGATTAATATACCGTGAGATAAAATTTCATCAGAACCTTCATAAGAATATACAACTCCTTCGACACTTGGTAAAACGCATGAACTCTCTGTGAACTGTTGATTCATACATTTCAAAATTTTTTTTTTTTAAATATCTTGGATTTAAAACTGATGCTGTCATTAAAAATAAATTAAGGAAAAATACATAAAATAAATATTGATATAAGTATAATAAAATATATTTACGAACGTGTTTGTTTAAAAGTTCACGAATCCATTGAACATGGTATTTAATGTCTGTAAAACAAGTGACTGTATCATTTAATTTACTATCCTTGATACTCAGTATTCCGGTTAGATAATAATTATTAGAGTGTAAAAAGCTTATGCCAGTTCCACTATCTCCGGAACCAATACCTGGTCCTAAAGCTAGAAATGTTTTTTGCATAAGTCGCAAGTTAAATATATTACACTTCTTAGATATTGTTTATATAATATGTAAAATCTTTTTTTCAGGGTGAAATGTTTGAGATTAACAATTTTGATTTATTTATGTATAGTATATATATATACATATATGTATAATATATAACGCTCAGCATTAGCTATAACCAAAAAAGTACTCGCCTCCAAAAACTATAATAATTACTGTAAAATCAAATCTAAATAAGTATTACCCAATTCAGAACCGGCACAAAACTTATCATAAGTCACAAATGCTTGAAATCCGTGCGTCTTAAAAATTTTTCGACAAGTCCTACGGTCAATGTACGGTAAAGATTTTTCTAACAAAACAGGACTTTGAGTGCCATTTATAGTGTCTCCCCAAACAACAACCTGTAAAAGTTTGAAACAGTTTTATAGTGTACAATAATTATAATAAAGGTAGGTATTAGCTTAATATTAGTATTATAATAATATCTGGTAACTGGTTATGTGGAGGTTGTTAATGAGTAGAATACGTTAATTGAAGACCAACATTTACAAGTCAGTAATACAGTAATCTTTTGAACATAGCTTGTATCTTATTAAAATATTAGCAGTTGGTTCTCAGCATTTATTCTGACTTTATCGATTTGAAGCTTTCACCAAAATGTATAAACTTGCACGCATAACTAAAGCATTATCCCCAACCACTTTTTATAAATTGAAACCATAAGACCAATCACATCATATTCTTTGTACCTATTTATTTAAACTACTACAAGTATACTACAAGAATTTTACCTTTCCTTGATCTTCATTGACTACATTGAATTTATTATTCCAATCGATACAAATAGGTCCAACAATATTACTAAAAGAAACTTTGTTTGCTAATACAATAACAGCAATATCATCAGCAAAATACCCTTCAAGTCCGTTAAAACCTTCATTCTGGTAAATTGTTTCCACCTTTATAATTGTTTTGATTTAAATTATAAGTATAAGTTTATACATTATTAATGGATTTTAAAATATAGTTTTATTTAAAAATCACTTACATTCATTATTTGAATAAAGTCATTGTCGATAACAGTAAAATTTTTATCATATTTTCCAACGACTACTTTTATAAGTCCAGAGCTTATTGATATTTCTTTAGATAACATACCAATTTCCCAAAAAGTAAAAGACCCTAAAAAATTTTTTCATTAATTTATTTATATTTCTTCTTAAGACCTCAGCAAACCGAATTATTTTTTCAAAAAAATTCCTAAATCGTTAAGACTTAAAAATGAAACCATTTTTAGAGATTCTATTTAAAAAATGCAAAGGGTTTAATTTGATAAAGAAGTTTACTTTCATCGGTCAGAGCTTATATACTCAATATTTTCAAGTTTTTAATATATTTGATACAGAACATTGGAAAACGTATGCCCGTCAAGTATTTCCCATAATTTAAAATGTGCTAAGACAGATTCCAAAGTAATATTGTTTATCCATTCCAAAATTTTAAAATTTTGGAAATTTTAACCTATGAAAGTTCTTAAACTTTATCAGACATATAGTTTTTTCACGTCTATAAATTGATTTTGCATATTTTTATCCAATCAAGCCTGTGTTATAAACAAGTTAAAAATTAACGTTAAGTTCTTTTTAACGTCTTAACTTAACTTTCTAAAATTAAATTTTCATTAACTTAATTTTAACTTAGTTAATTTGTATTGTTATCAACTTAATAAATTGGTTAGTTAGAAATAATTACATAATACAAATAATACAATCATTATTGATGATGTGTGTTGCATAACTCAGTTAGGAATTCATTATTATTTGCCGAAGCTTGGATCTAAAAACTAAAAGACATGTGTATATGTGGGGCTTGAGATATACGATTTGTGTGATTGATGGGAAGTATACACACGCTAATGATATTTTAGTACACACACTGCTAAGACGAGCAATACTTGGAAATAACGAAAGAATTGTCTAAACATTGCTCATATAAATAATTCGTTTGCAGAGACATGTATATTCAAGTTTTTACAAAGATTATACATACCAGTAATCACTACATTGGAAGCAATAATTGATCCTCCACACAAAAAGTCATAATTGGAATTTTCCTTATTTAATCGATATATTCCAACATTCCAAGGTGCCGTTCCAACAACCGCTATTTTACCATTTTCGGTCAATACTTGGTTTTTGACGTATACTTTACCGCAATCTAAAACGATATGAAATGTATTAAAAGTATTAGAAGCTCCAAATTTAGTTTAATACTAGTAACTCTGGCATATATTAGTTAACACAACGTATAAATGATATCAATATTATCATAAAAATATAATTATGTATTGTACCTGTGGTCATATTTATGTTATTTTCGTATTGAGCACATAAAGCTTTAGTCTCGTCTGAACCATCTGAACAATCCTTACGACCATCGCAAACCCACGACGATTCAATGCACAGTCCATCTGAACAATAAAACTTATCTTTGGTGCTTCTATAATATTGTATTCAAATGTGCCACAAATTATTATCTAATATTTATTTTACAATTAATTATAAGCAAACATGAAAACTAATCAAATATTAGGTAAAAATCAAAGTATTACAAATATAAACATTTATTTACTAGACCTATTTATGCTAGACACAATGAATAAATAGGGCTTAACCTTTCGCACATTATTAGAAGGGCTTGGTCTTGTGATTTTTTTTATAAGTAGGTATAGAATACATCCCCAGGGAACTGTGTAAGTCAGGAGATATCTAATTAGTACCTACTGGCTACTAAGATTACTTAACATTAAATATAGATCTTATATATTGTTTGATGGCGCTTATTAATATTTTAGGGTTCTAAGTTCTCAATGTCCCACCACTATTTTTGGCACTTGTAATTACATAATATTTATTTATAGGTACCAACACTGAGCAAGATGATACAGCTTGTCGTTTTTTGAGGTTTCTGTCACACAAAATTCCAGTTCCTGAAATGTATTCATGTGCATTAAATAGGTACGTAAACAAATATGTTTAGTCGTTTAAAATATTTTTTTAAACAGCATTTCTATTTGTGTGAGGTGAACAAAAGTTTTAACAAACCAATGAAATTTAAAAATAAAACCACTCGAAGCGTCTTTACAATTTCGAATTTTTGATGTTGTCTAAATTCAATCACTATCTTATATTATTTTATGCAATATACTATCACAAACACAAATTCAATAGTAACGTTTCTATTTGTAGTTGAATATACCGAGAAGTGGTTGTTTTATTTTCAGACATTTTTTTTTCATCTGGTATATTTCATAATACAGCTATATGCATATAAATAGTATGTAACAGAAAAAACTGACTAATACAATAACTTATGTTATAATCAATAATAAAAAAATGGCATTTACTTTATAAACACTTGTGCTATATATTTTATAGTAATTTTTATACATATAGACTGGACTATATTTTATATACAGTGTAATTTTTTTTCCTTAAACTGAAAATAATTTAAATATATTGTACTTTTTTTGGAAAATTATATATAATACTTTACCTAGGTACAGTACATTTATTAAACATGTTGGTATATTATTTAATATTTAAATATAATGAATATTTTATATAATACCAAAATAATGTCATGCAAATATTAATTTATATAAATATACTATACATTTCCATATTATTACTCTATTGTTGACATTGTAAGTACGTACCGAAAATTAAACATGAATAAACTATCCAGAAATACATCACATTTATTTCCAATGGCGAGCTGTGATTATTGCAAAGATATTTAAAAATACAAACAAAATATTTTTATTCAAATGTATATCAAATGCACTATTTACTAAACAATAGTTTACAGTGAATTTTATAACACGTTAAGTATAATACTTCACGCTGATATTATCTATATAATATTTATTAATTTTAAACTTCATAAGAAAACAGTATGGAAAATACGATAATACAAATACAGCATTAAAATACTAAACACACAATATCGGGTATTCGGTTATCTATACTACGTACTATACCGTGATGCTGGTGTGAAGTCGAAATTGATATTGTTAAATTCCTTCGACCACCTATCACATGATCGACCGAAGGACAAGCTACGTAGATAGGTGGTGGTGGGAATAAAAAAATTGCCAACTTGTTTTAAAAATTGGTAATATTGTTCATACTACCACCTCATATGATACAGCTTCTGGGTTATTGACGAAACTATATATAAATACGTGTAAGACTTGTTATTCAGATTACGTATATAGGTACATATGATAGATGTACACCTGCAAAATACACGCTATATGACTGCTATAAAGTACTACGTCATGTAAGTTCTTCGTCTCTTCGATATGCATAGCAGAATAGTAAACACATTATTAACAAAATTGTTTTATATTTAAATGTAAATGTATAGTATTTAATATATTATATTGCCTGTATGTTTTATTATATCATATCATTAAAGGGCATAAGCTGCTTATCGATTTTCCTTACATATGCGCATCATAAGTTACAATTATTTCGATTTTCCACCATATCATATAAACAATATTTATGTGATAGTAAATTGTATGAGTGTATAGATATAAGTAATCTATTAAATCACCATGTATATATTATAGTGACTATGATGAAGAATTGTGACGAGCATTTCTCTGTGGCTTGCCTCGTGGATTATAAATTATAATAGATTTATCTTAAGAATTTTGAAATACTTTGACCTTAAAACATTATTTTATTATATTAAATAACAAAGATTTTTCTCTTTTTGGTATAAACAATATGATTAGAGGATAGTTGAGTTAATACTTTCTTTAAAACAAAAGTAATTTAATCATGAACACATTCGTATATGTTATTAATATGCGAATGAATATGAATAAGAATGGTATCAATCATTTATTGTATAAAGTGTTAAGAATTGTAACAGATAAGAAAAAACGTTTTTATAATTTTTTTTAATTCTTTTTAAATTAATAAATAAATAATCTTAATAACATTACAATAATCTTATTTAATATGTTAATGTTTGTTATACAGTACACGAATCCATTCAATGTGATACTTTACTTTTGTAAAAACTGCGATTGAGTTATTTGTATCTGAATCCTTAATACTCACCACTCCGGTTAAATAATAAGAATTAGAGTGTAAAAAGCATAAGCCGGCACCGCTATCTCCCTTGCCAACTCCTAGTCCTGCAACTAAAAATATTTTATATTTAAACCTAAACTAATCAGTAATCACACACCTCAATGCCTATTATTGGGTAGTGGACACAATATAGATTTACTTTATTAATTACAAATAATGTGCAAGAACTATTTACGGAGGGGGTGGGGTAAAAAAAATTACATTTAGTTTTACATGAAATATAAAATGTATTATGTAAAAAAATGTATTGATTCAAACAAGTTTAAATGTTTAATTAGTTTAGACTCTTCTATTTGATGCTGAGTGGTGACCGATAAAAACAGACACGGCAAAAACGCAAGACAATGCATTTTATCGGTATCTGCAATACCGAAAACAGACGTCCTAGAATTCACCAAAAGCTAGGGCTAGGAGGACTATTCCCTTGGATTCACGCCTGACAACAACGATGTGAGTGCTTACCCAATAAGGCTCGTCTATCTTGAATTATTGAACAAATGAAATTATTAATAATTTATCCTCGCCAAACCTGTATTATTCACCTTATATTATGTGTTTCTCCTGTCTCCACTATATCTCTAAAAAAATTCTGACCCGTACTTTCCTACTCTTAATAATTTTATTCTACTACGGTGGATCCGAGAATGGGCTGTGCTGTGGTCGACAAATAGTAAAAATCAATGGTTTCATGACTTTATGATATTAATGTTTAAATATTTTAATACCCAATGTAGAACCGGCACAAAACTTATCAACAGTCACAAATTGTTCAAATCCGTTATTATACATATTCCGGCAAGAACTATGGTCGATGTATGGTAGAGATGCTTCTAATAAAGTAGGATTTATAATACCTTTTTCTGTTTTTCCCCAACCAACAATCTGTAAAGTATAAAACAGTTAAACAGTTGTATAATTTACAAAATTATAATAATTTATTTATAATATTAATCACTTTTTATGTAAGTGTTGAGAACGTGTATAATTAGTTAAATCAATTCTGACAGATCGAAGTTTTTTAATTTTGTAATTCAATCAAATATGAAATAAAAATAATGTTTAATTGTCATACAATAATTTGTATTTTGAGATTTTATTTTAGATTCTGAGCAGAGTGATTGATTTTAGTATGATGTGTGATTTCTTTTAATGTCTATAAACGTTATTTCTAGTATAAATAATGCTTTGATTTTCAACTTTATTATCTTTCCCGATGAGAAAACCATTCTAGTTGGTTCTTTTGAGAGGTTAATAAGGAAAATTCATCAGGGATTTTTACGAAAACCCAGTTTTTGACAAAGTCTATTTAGTTTTTATGATATAACTAAAAAACTAATAACCGTAAATACTTTAAATATACACCGAATATTTTGTAATACCTTTTTCTATGTATTGATTCTTTTTGGGCTATTTATGGACCCTAGAGAATTTTTATTTTTATTAGTTTTTTAAAAAATACTGTCGGTAAAAATGTTTCACACTGTCAAAATATTTGAAAATTGAACACAAGTTAACCCTACCTTTAAGTTCTAACAAATGAAAAATGTTTACTGGAAAATCAAACTAATTTTTGTATGATCGTTTAAAGTTTAAATTATGTAGACATTGGATTGTCAGCAGTAAATTAACAAAGTCTCATCCATCGATATTCTTATTTTGTTGTAATTTAAATATAAATAACCATAAATAGGTACTTGATGTTTTCACCAAATAATTATTTTATCATTTTCTATAGGATAGTTCTAATTTAACCTTTTAAAATATTATGATTCGTTTTGAACTAGGTATATATTACATAGTTGCTATCAATTTTTTAAAGTTTCTTTTTCATTTATTTCTATCATGTTATTGGCTTAAAAAGCTTAAAAATCGAATACATTTTTATTCATACACTGTTATAAATAAAGTTAAAAAAATGTATAAATACATGAAATCTAAATAGGCATGGTTTCGTTATTAAAAAAGCGGGTAGGTAAATGGATTTAGCTCTGCTGTACATTACATGTGTCTAGGAGGTCACTGTAATGAATGGTATTAAATTTGAATTCAATGATATCCAATCATTGGATACGAAAAACGATTCTGAGGGTAAACCGTATGTCAGTATAGATATAATAGATATATAATACGCTAATATTCGTGATTTCTACGGATTTTGTCAAAATTCTAAGTTTAAACGCTCATAAAACATTACTGTGGATTTACGCTCAACTTTATTTTAATTTCCATTAACAACAACTTACGAAGAACCTTGTATTACATTTACAAGTTTTTTGACCAAGTGAAAATATTTTTATCGACTATAGTTTAAAAAAAACGAATAATAATCGAAAATTTCATATACCTATAAATAGTTCAATACTAATCGAAATATTTTGAAAATTTTATGGTGTATAGAAAATGCTAACACAAACATTCAGTGAAAATTGCATGCATCTACTGTCATTTTTGTTAGAGTTCACTAAAAAAACAAAATCGATTTTTTCGAAAACTGGTTTTGCTTAAAAATTCCTTTTTATCCTTAATTTTCAGGTAATGTCTTGTAACAATGCAATATTTATGCAACATCTTAAGCATTGAATCTCACTGTATATTTGCTCACAACCAATATAGGTTGATAATGACAGGTAATAGATGAATAGGTATTATTGCATTAACAGTAATGAAATCAAAACTGTAATTTTATAAATAATATTGTTAACCAACCTTTCCTTGATCACCATTGACTACATTAAATTTACCATTCCAATCGATACAAACAGGTGAAACGCCATTACTAAAGGAAATTTTGTTTTGTAACACGACAATAGCTATATCTTCAGCGTGAAACCCAGTGTTTCCATAATAACCTTCTTTCAGATGAATAATATCCACCTGTACAATTGTTTTAATTTATGTTATTCGTAGTATTTTTTATAATTATTAATAACTTACATTAATGATTTGAGTAAACTCATTGTCAATTATTGTTATATTCCTATTATATTTTCCAACAGAAATTTTGTATTGACCGTCGTTTATTAATAATCTCTTAGATAACATACCTTTTTGCCAAAAACAATGAGCCGCTAAAAATGATATTTTCATATTTTTCATTTTTTTTTTAAATTTTTTTTATTAAGATTTTACCAGAAATTACTAAATTTGGAGCAATAATTGATCCTCCACAAATCAAGTCATAATTGGATTTTTTTTTGTTTAATCTATATATTCCAGCATTCCACGGAGCTGTTCCAACAATTGCTTTTTCACCGTTGTCTATCAATACTTGGCTTTGGCCATATACTCTGCCACAGTCTAAAATAATATTTGAATAAACATATTAAATTATAGATATTAATAATCAATAATACTAATAGAACAGACATAATGATGATGGTTACCAACTGTAGGTACATGGTACATCAAACGATTATGCATAACCAATGGTAATTTGTTCTTAATTCATTTTATCATTTATAATACAAACAAAAGCTTTTGGTTGCAGTAAAAGTTAAATAAGTTAGTAAAATATTTATAAAGTAGGTTACACATGTTTATATGACAAAAAATAAAATTACACGGATTGCAACTATTTAGCTGTTTATTCCACGTCCCATTAGATTGGCAATGTAATTCATGAGGGGTCTCTTCTTGTCCTTTTGGTGCAATATATGTTGCCTTACATGATGGTGTTGCTATGGTATCGGGTATCGATAAATTTGAACAGTTAACATACTTTCCATTTAAATTACATTTAATATCTAAGCTATCTGACTCTAAAGGCGGACACATTTCTAGAAACGTAAATAAATTTTAATCAAACATAACAGCACTATGAAACTTTAATAACATAAGTACTTATACGACATACGAATTAAAATATAATACTTACTGAAACACAATACCTCAGAATTTGATAACCATTTTCCTTTTCCCTGGCAAACCCTAAAACCATAAGGATACGTTTTATGATATCCAGCTTCACAATTCTCAATAACTGTACGATGATGTTTAATTAATGAGCGGTGAGGTATAATGTCATTAGAACCTTCATAAGAATATACAACTCCTTCAGCAGTTGGTAAAACGCATGAATTTACAGTGGCCTGTAAAAATCTTAAACTTAAAAAAATATATATTCTTTCTAAAATATCTTTGTTTTCAAGTCGAAGTTATCATTACAAAAACAATTAAATTCAATATATTGAAAATTAATATTAATAAATATATAAATTAATACCTATATTTACTTACATGTTTGTTTAAAAGTCCACGAATCCATTGAACATGGTACTTAATGTCAGTAAATACTGCGATTGAATCGGTTGTATTAGGATCCTTAGCACTAACTACTCCGGTTAGATAATAAGAATTAGAGTGTAAAAAGCTTATGCCTGTTCCAGCATCTCCTACACCGGCTCCGAGTGATGAAACTGGAGGTTTAGTGAAATAGTGTTTAAGAAATAACAAAATTATCAATATGTAACATATTAAACATTTGAACTTAATAATAATATCTAGAAAAAGAGTGAATTTCTGTGGCAAATTAAAGAATTTCTGAAACCTAGTTTTACCGGGCGGAATTAGTCACTATATTTTGAGATCAACATAATTTCAACGTGAAAGTCCTAAAAACAGAAGAAAAATTCACCCGGCACCAAAAGCCATATATTAATTTTTAGAATATTTAAATTCCTCATTCTCTTTTCAATGTTATGTAGGAAAAGTATGGGATTTTCGATTTGTTGTATTGTTTAATTAGTATTGTATTGTATACATAAAGTATCAAATTAATTTTTTTTCAAATTTCACTTTTACTTAGTGTTACTAAAAAAAATTTAATTAATTGGTTTTCTAAAAAACACAATTAATAAATGAACAAACTCAAATATTTTTTCAATATTAAAATTAGACTTCTGGAAGTTTATTTTTTTTCCTCAGCTTATTGGTTTAAATGCACGAGAAATCTACAACAGCCTTAACACTAAGCATTAAACAGAACGCTGTAGTCAATAAGGTACTCGCTTCAAAAAACAATAATCAGTGTAAAATCAATATTTTAATTGCTACGCTCAGGATCTAAATAAGTATTACCCAATTCAGAACCGGCACAAAACTTATCATAAGTCACAAATGCTTGAAATCCGTGTGTCTTAAAAATTTTTCGACAAGTACTACGGTCAATGTATGGTGAAGATATTTCTAATAAAACAGGACATTGTGTTCCATTTATCGTGTCTCCCCAAACTACAACCTGTAAAAGTTTGAAACAGTTTTATAATGTACATTGATTATAATAAAGGTATTAGTTTAATACTAGTTCTAGTATTCTATTAATATCTGCAGGTTATGAAAGTGTTGCTTATGAGTTAAATTAGTTAACTAAAGAGTGGATAATCTACGTTAGTAAATTTAGAAATATAAAATAAGATTAATGCTATGAGATTTTACCAAAGTGTTTTATTTTGTACTTATAAGACTCATACAAGATATTATTGTATATGCAAATACCCGATGTTAGCCTATTTTGTTCAAATTTGGTAATATTTCAGAATTCAATCTGAAAGTAATTCAAGTTTGTTTAAGAAAATCTGTCCGTTTAGAGTAAGACAATTTATAAATGAAATTAAACGGGCTAAATTCACATTTCTTAAATCTTCATTTTGACCAACATTTACTAGACAAATATAATATTTTGAGCATAACTTACGTACCGAGTTTAAAGATTTGAAGCTATCGCCAAAATGTATAAACTTCTGTAGATAACTTAACTATTGACCCGCGCCAATTATTATAAATGAAACCATCCAACCAATCACATTATGTTTTATATGTAAATATTTATTTAAATCACAAACTCTTAAGTACAAAAAATTTACTTTTCCTTGATCTCCGTTGAATACATTGAATTTATTGTTCCAATCGATACAAACGGGTGTAACACCATTACTAAAAGATATTTTGTTTGCTAATACAATAACAGCAATATCATCAGCAAAGTACCCTTCAAGTTCAAGACCATTAAAACCTTCATTCTGGTAAATTGTTTCCACCTTTATAACAATTTTAATTGAAATTGTACATAAAGTATTATATATTATTAATGTATTTTCAAATTTAATTTGAACTAAAAATTACTTACACTCATTATTTGAATAAAGTCATTGTCAAGAAACGTAAAATTTTTATCATATTTTCCAACAGCCACCTTTATGAGATCGTCGTTTATTGATGTTTCCTTAGATAACATACCTATTTCCCAAAAAGTAACTGCCCCTACAAAAGTAATTTGTTTTTTTTTTGCAAAACATTCGTTCTTAAATACATTGTACAAGGATTATACCAGAAATCACTACATTGGAAGCAATAATTGATCCTCCACATAAAAATTCATAGTTGGAATTTTCCTTATTTGATAGATATATTCCAACATTCCAAGGTGTAGATCCAACAACTGCTTTTTCACCATTGTCGATCAACACTTGGTTTTTTCCATATACTTTACCGCAATCTAAAACCATAATACATGCAATATTATATGTATTATTAGAAGCTCCAAATTTAAAACTTTATGAGTAACTCTGACATCTATGAATATATAAATAAATATGAATCGTCAAAAACATAGAATTATTTTGTACCCATGGTCATATTTATTCTATTTTCGTATTGAGCACATAAGGCTTTGGTCTCGTCCGAACCATCTGAACAATCCTTACGACCATCACATACCTGTGACAATTCGATGCACAGTCCATTTGAACAATAAAACTTATCCTCGGTGTTTCTATAATATTGTATTCAAATGTGCAACAAATTATTATTTTTTATACCGCAATTGTAAGCAAATATGAAAGCTAATCTAATACGTAAACTTTACAATGTAAAGGACTGATAAACATAAACATACAAAATATATTCATACCAAATTCAACCCTTATATAAAATTATGACATGTCTGTCATCAGCGAGAAATATAGTTAAAAATGACAAAACTCGCTCGAAAAACGATTGACTGACATACTAATATCTTGTTAACAGAGTTAGAGACTAGTCAGTTTCAATAAGTATATGAGTATATCACTATGGGAAATCGAGATAGTCAGGAAATATTTACCAACTATAATAACTTAAAATTAAATATATATCATATATATATAGTGTTTTATTATGGTGCTTATTAATACTTAAGGGTTCTAAGCTCTCTACGACCCATCTTCATATTTGCCACTTATAAAATAATATGTATTTATACTACAATCACCAACTCTGAGCATGATGATACAACTTGTCGTTTTTCGAAGTTTCTGTCACACAAAATGCAGGATCCTGAAATAATGAATTCATGTGCTTTAAATAAGTATTTCAACAATGTTTAGTAAATTAAGATTATTATTTATTGTTTCAATCAATATTTTCAATTTGAATTCAATAGCATCATATAACCTTATACATCGGGCTTTCGTATGTAATATGTTCGATTCCACATAATTTCAGACTTCAGTTAATGCTAGGGAGAGAACAAAACTTTCGACCAGCCAATGAAATGCAAAAATAAAACCAATCGTTTCACTCGCAAGCTCCTTCCGCTCACAATTTTTATTTCAATTCAATTGTTATCTTTTAATATTTTAATTGTTTGATTATAAAAACTAATTGAATTAAACGGTTCTGTTTGTAATTATCTCTGAATATTATGAAGAGGTAGTTTTATTTTCAGAATTTTTTTTTTGGTCGATTGATGTACCTAATATAATACCGTGAACATTTTATTAAGGTACCTACCAACACATTATGTTTAAACTGAATAATTTTAAATAGATATTAATTTTTATCGTGACAAAAATTCCTATTACTTATAGATAATTATTATAATAAATTATATTTTTAAAAATTATAAAAATAGATAGTTTCAATATTTCTTACTAAGCTACTAACATTAGAACAATATGACAAAATTCCCTCAAGGTATTAACATAATGTTTTAAAACGAAGATTTTCTATGTATTACAATATTGTTAACACTGTTAAAGTGATATTACGCACCAAAAATTAAACTTGAGTATATTAACCAGGAATACATAACGCTAAGTAAAGCTGAGATTAAAGTAAATATAAATAAAAAATATAAACAATAAATGTTCAAACATAAGTTATACTAAATTGACACCACTTTACACTAAACAATATTTCACTAAACATTTACATGTATTTACAACAAAATATACTATAAAATAATAAAGTATTTATTAAACACCGACAATGTTTTTATTGGATTAACTAATTTTTAATTTCATAAGTTAACACTACGTAAGATACAATAATAATTAGAATACAACTTTAAATCACTATAGTGCCCAAAACACATAATTTATTGGGTTTTCAAAAGTCTATACTACTGAATAACTGATCGATATTATGTACCTATACTACCAAGAGTGCCAGCTATATGTGATCACTTGACTGAAGGACAAACTACGTAGATAAGTGCCAGGTGGCAATGAACAAAAATGATAAAGTTGCTAACTTGTTTTAAAATTGATTATTATAGGTCCTACTACTACCTACACGTCTTTTTCAAATATGTACACCTGTTTTTTTGACGAAGGTACCTATAAGTACTTAAACGTCTTATACGCATATACAACTGGTTATCCAGAGCTAGATTATGTAGATACATATATATATAAGTAAATCATACAATATTTTTGTATACATATATAAATTAACGTATTGCAATAATTTTTAATTGTTTTTTTAATTCATCACTATCAAGATGTAGTGTCTGCTGTTTATGTCTAGTAACTATTGCACAATGATCTCCATTATCCACCATATCGAACAAAAAATGTATGTACATTTAAAGTAGATTTCAAAAGCATTAATATGTATTCTATTGACCATTTTATTGCCCATTTAATTGTACTGGACCAACATTTTTTTTCTTTTTATTTATAGTCATAATAAAATGAACATAATAATATGAAGAACATTATCTGTGTTTGTATGTTGGTTTTTTCACGATAGTTCCATATTTTAGCTAGTTATGTAAATAAAACCAAGGGAAATATCAGGACAGCAGTGCTTTGCAGTGCTATCCACAGATTCCTTCCCGGTTTCGCCCAGTGGTCTCATCCCACCGAGTCACAAAGCCTCCGATCGTCGCGGTTCCGCAAGCACCGAGATTATAGTCTTCGCTCCAAGCTTAGGTCACCGTTCGTCGCCGGCACAACAGTCAACGTCTTCAGTTTTCAGCACCTGCAGGGCCGTCAAGCTCAAAACATCGAGTACTAACCGCTCGTCGTAGATCTCGCGGCAGTCGTTGCCAGGCTTCGTCCTCTACGATGATCGTCAAATTATTATATTATGTTGGCTTGAAAGTATAATAAATAATACAGTGACTATAGTGAAAAAATAAAACTTTGTTGGCTACAACTAAAATACCGTATATTATAATAGTATGTTTATTTTATAATTTATATCAACAAACGACAGTCAGTCTGTTATTTGAATTCAAACGAATGAGTTCTATTATTTTTTTTATATTTTTATATTATTTAATTGTCAATTTTTTTCATTTGTAGTTCACTGTCTGTTTATTATTATAGTTTTGTTTTATGAAAATTTGTTTAAATTTTAAATGTTTTTATTCTAATTGCCTAAGTTTATTTTCAGAGAATAGTTTTTCTAGGATACAACGTGATAAAACAAACTATTCTTGCATTTATATACAACATTCTAATTGCTAGCTATTATATTCAAGAAAGACAAACAAGATTTTAGTTGGGTGTATAATGGATTCATAATGCAATGCTAAAAAAAATGCTTATTGATTGTTAAACGAATATTAAAATAAATTTGGTAATAGTACACTAAATTATAGGTAAGTTTAGTTTAGCAATGTTATTTTAGAAATTCTATTAATAATATTGTTCTTAGTTACAATTATTAGCTTTAAAATTAGATTATGGTATTTTAATTTTGGTTACGTATACATGTATACGTATTATACATTATTGCATATTTAATTTTAAGGTATATGTATACAGCGTTGAATTCAGTAGACATTATAATATAAATAAAAATAAAATAAGCAGTATAAATGTCAATATTCCAGTTTTTTTCAGACTGCAGATAATATTTTACACGTCTTGAATTCAACACTGACAAAGGGGGTAATGGGACATTGTCGGTCAGACGAGGGATACTTATATTTTATTAAATCAAAGTTTTATTATAAAACAATTATCAGTCAATAATTAGCTTAAAATACACAATGTAATACTCTAATATTATCGTTAGTTTCCCTTCTTATAAATGTCCGACAGTTCACCCATTCTCCGCTGCGTGGACTATGCCTACAGTTTAAACACTCGGGGAAACCACGATAAAAAAAACGCGCCACGTACAATACCTCATGCACCACAAAGAAGTTTGATATAATATCGATTCTCATTTAGTGTGCTAAGGTGGTGAGGAAACTTGTGCAATAAATTATTGTAATTTGTAAGATAATATTAACATTACCACAATATATGTATGTTTTACATTTACATACATACCTATACATGTAATACATTTTTGAAATGCGTGTATTTTTCCTCGAAAGTGCGCTCAACACCACATTACAACACAACGGTATTAGAAAGGATACAATTTAGATAGATACATTGAGTCATAGAAGAACCCATGCTAACTAAGTAGTATTTCTATCTAAACTAGTTAGGCTAAAAGCTGATACTCTAGACATATTAGCTGCTATAAGGTTCATTCCATGTTTTAGTGTATGCAGCTATTAAATATGTGTAGAACAAGCCTGTCGTGCACATCATGATACAATTGGACAATCAGGACCGACTTACTAACCACTACTAAATAACCATATTATTAAATTAAATTGTATAAAGTTATTCGAGAAGAGAAAAAAAATAAAAGAGAATAACAATGAGACATACAATGGTAAATATAAAATATAATTTACATATTAATAATAATCACTCTTAAAGATTTATTTGTTTTATAAATACTGCTATATAACAAGTTTGTTTATTTTTTAAATTTAGACCAGTTGGGGAGATTTCTGCATTTGACCATTAAGGTGCTATATTCACATATATATTTACTAAATGGTCAAATGCAACCTATTTGTTTAAGCAAGTTTAGATTTACAAAAGTAAACAAAAAAGGTATCACCAATTTTTTTTTCTTAAAAATACATCCAAAGATAAATTTTAGTAAAATAATAATTTTTTTGAGTCCCAGCAATCAAGATAAGAATTATTATCTATATATAATCAGTAGATTTTGTAACAGAAACTGTGGATGACGTTGATAAGTCAATATTTGTATTAATTCTACTGTTAAGAACTTAATTTGTAAGTAAATCGTTCTTTGGATTTATTGTAAAGTTATACTATTCCCACCCCGACATAGGTTCCACTGACTTGTTATTTCCTTACCAGTGTTGGTGATGCTGAGTCTGAGTGTGGACGCTTCCACCACTCACCGCCGTCCTACTTGGACGGCTTCTACGTCGCCGTTATTCCAGTTTCTTATGAAAAGCTCTTGTTGTAAATTATAATTTATCTGCTTAAAATCGACACAGTTAACGGCTCTTTAGACAGCTTCCAGTTCCAGAACCATATCATATTATGTTATTGGCTAATCGAATACCTATAACTCACAGTTGTCGTATACGCCACACAAGCTTAGATACATAATATAAAAGATGTATTTGGGTTTTCGATTAAAAACCGTCGAACGAGTAAATAGTGACACCTGAAATTGATGATCAAAAAAGTACTGTTTATTAGCCACTACAAGAAGCTTATAGAACTTAACAGGGCCGCTTCCGTCATTGTTTCCACCTTATGTAGTGATTGAATTTTAGTTAATTCGGCATATGATATATAAATATTAGTACCTAGGTAGTATAAAAACATTTATTAATCCATTTTGATAGTAATTCGACGTGTGTTAACGAGTTTATTCTCTATTTTGTACAGAATATTTGTATCATATAATGATAAGTACTAAAAAAATAACCCAAAACACCGGAGTAGATAAATAATCTATCTATTACGCCGTGTGATAAAATTAATATTTATTTTATAGTTATAACTAGAACTAGGATTTTAATAACCTAAAAATACACGAAAATGCACTTTAAAAAAATGCAAAAATGACCTAAAAACTTTAGAAAATGAACTTAAAAAATGACCAGAAAGTGTACTTAGATGAGCGAAAAAAAATTAATTTTTAAATAAATATTATTAATAAGGAGTAATGATTAATTATTATTTATTTATTTTTATATTACACAAAAAAGATAAAAAAAATTTTAAGAAGTAAATAATACAAATATATTTAAATTTGAGTTAACTTGTGAGTTTAATTAATAATATTACTTTTCAATTCATACTCGCTTTGCCTAATCCCAATTCATGGACAACTCAGTTTGCCGACAAATTTACCAGTTATAAAATATTTGTAATATTATTTTATTGATATAGTTTCAATTTTCCCGATTCGCCAACAGGTGACAATAATTTCATCGAAATATAATATATAACAGCAATAATATTATGGTATGTTTTCAATACAAAGGTACTATTTTTCGTGTACTATAAGTACTAATTGAGATTACCTATACAACACATATTAAAAAACCCTAAAATAAATAAAAAATTAGTTTAAATACACAAAATGATCGTGAAATTTGTAAAAATACAATAAAATTCACTTAACACAAAAAATGCAAAATAAAAATTACACATTCTAAATTATTATATCACGAAACAAATTTAGTTTTTGGTTAGAAATATATAGCACTTAAAGAAAAAAATTCAAAAGTCACCAAAATCCCAGCTGTAGTCATAACAATAAGATACTGTACGAATGAAAAATGGAAAATGATAATATATTTTATGAATAAAGTATTAAAAATTCTAAATATATAACCTGTGACGTATCACGTAAACCAAAGAAAAATACGTTTTAGTACTTGTATAATACCAAATTCCCAATTATTATTCTTTTGAATCGATATAATTAACTATGTGAATTAAATAAAATACAGATTACAGGTACATATACTTATAACATAAATTATTTTTTCAATATAGTGGATAATGGAAATCATTACTCTGTATAAATGGAATATAAATGGATTCCAAAATTTGCATGTACATCAGACTCCATGCTATTTGATATTTAAGAATACCTTGGGCGATACCCTATACCTTGTATCCTATAATAATATGGTATGATATTATAATAAAATATACAAACAAAATATAATTATTACTATAAATTTAAGTATAAATAGTTGTTTATAATATTTTTAGAATACATATTATTATATACGCCTAAATAATCTGAAAACCAGTATTCTAGTATAATAATGTCGAAAAGCGAAGTTGTATTTAATGTGGTAGAAGGAGTGTAAGACCAGTACAATATTTTTCAAAACAAGCCAGTAAAACTTATTTTTTTCATTACCACTACCACGTAGTTATGTATCTACTTAGTTTGTCCTTCAATGATCAATGATCATGACGCTATCGTACATAGTATTATATTGTTATTAGTTGGTAGGAGGAACATAATAATATCAACATTAAAATATAGTAGTATATATTATAGAAGACCCAATATTATGTGTCTATAGTGTTGTAAAGCTGCATTGGTATTATCGTATATTACATATCGTTTCTTATGAAGTTAAAATTAATAAGCTCTCAACAGAAATTGACAGGGTTTTGTATTATATTTGATATTATTATTACAGTATATTTTGCTTCACGCATATACTTACGTGTTAGAAAATGTACGGTGAACTATTGTTTAGTGTACCTATAGTGTTGTTAATTTGATATAACTTATGAGTAAACGTTTATATATTTTTAAATATATTTGAATTAATTTCAGCTTACCAAACAATGAAGATGACGTACTCGTATTCCTGGATAATATATTCATGGTTAATTTTCGGTACGTAATTCCAGTATTAACAATAAAATAATAAATAAAAATCATATTTTTATGACAATATATAATTATATATAATATTCATTACATTTAGATATTAAATACACCCAATAAGTTTAATAAACGTATATATCTAAAGTATATTATTTTAAATGCATTATTATGTACCAGTAATTTAATTAAAACAGTGGGTAATTTGTAATCTTGATAATAATATTTTTCAAACTGATTAGTTTAAATTAAAAAGGTATGTACTATGTGCATTCGCATTCTATGTAAAATAGTTTTGGGACAGTAACGCTATTGAATTCCAAAGATAATGTTTTATTTTTATATAATATTATGTCATCATTAAATAGACTACCATTGAATTGGCTCCCTAAAGTATAAAATATTATTATTGAACAAGGGGTTCTCATACTATACGCTTTTACTTTTACGTCGTCAACCTAATGACAAATAGTTTAATTTAACTTATTAATTTGTAGTTACATAAAATACATATATTTTATAGCGAATCATCCACCTATAATATTGTCGTATTTTAATATTTTAATAATTATTTAGATTTTATTTTTTCTGCGCTCTTGTGAGATTTTTTTTTTATATTTACTAAATAATTCTGTGTAAAAAAATAGATGTATTGAAATATATAACTCTCCATGTGGAGACGTAAAATATACAAATGTGATACCATAAAACGTGACGTGTCAAATTTAAGAATCGTATTGAACTTATTTTTTTATCTTAAGTCTGGTGGACATCAAATACCCTAGTAAATAATTTCCAACTTTAAATTATTAATTACATTTAGTAATTAACATATTTTTGAAAAAAAAGGTAGGGAGCCAAATCAAAGATACTTCTTAAGGGTAAAATAAAAAACAATACAAATAATCATATCGTATAACATAGTTACTAATAAGTATTTATTATAATGTGAAGTAAGAAAACTTTTTAGGTATTTCAAAATATTGGTAAGGTGAAGAAAAGGCTACCCGATGATAATAACACTTTTTTTTTAGTTAATGTAGATATTGAGTTAAGATATATGTGTACAATTTTTTTTATTGAACTCAGCTGCATGTTTATTTTAAAAAAATAGTTGTACCTACATTAAATGCTCATAAGATTCAGTAAGTATTATGACTTATTAAACATAATGTGTTGGACGTAGGTACGTAAATAAAATGCATATTATGTAGTTTATACTTTATATACAGTGCGCAACAGAAAAATCTGACAAAAAAAATTGATATTAGTTAATCGTATGACAACAATTGTGAAAATGATGTAGATGATAAATAATTTAAGAAATATACTCATGTCAGGTAATTTCCGAAAATAATATTTCGATTAATATAAATAGAAAATGTCAGTGTAAAAATGCAAAATAAATGAGTCAACATGAGTTGAAATATCTTAAAAATGTTATAACGTAACCTAACCAATATAGGAAATTCTAAAATCAGCATTCAGTGAAAACTTCATGGGTCCACTGTACATTTTTTAAGAGTTACGTAGGTACACCAAAAAACAAAATCGATTTGATCGAAAACCGTTTTCCTTGGTGCATTTGAAAAATTTTGGGCATTTTAAATTTTGACCTTCTGAATGCACCAACGATATTCATTTTCCCACCGGCAAAGATACTGAAGTTGAAAATCGAAGCATTCTTTAGACTATTTATAATGTACAATGACATAAAAATTGAAAATTAAAATAAAAAACACACATCACTGTAAAATGCATGCATTATCGCTCCGCTTAGAAATTAAAATGTATACTATAAAGTATAAATATCTTAATCTACTAAACGTTGTTTACGTATTTAATGCATCTAAATTCATTATTTCAGGAACTGGCATTTTGTGTGATAGAAGACTCGAAAGACGACAAGCTGTACTATCATCTTGTTCAGTGTTAGTGACTGTAGTTTTAATAATTATTTTATTATTTTAAGTAGTGAAAATCGTGGTGGTTGTGGCCTTGGGTAATTAGAGCCCTAAAGTCTTTAAGCACCTTCAAACACCATACGATCTATATTTAATATTGGGTAGTCTTAGTACTAACTACATATCTACATAATTTTTGACTCTCTCAACTCCCCCGCATTGATATACTTTACTTATAACAAAAAATTAGGAACAAACCTCTCCGAGGTTAGGAGAAGCAGAACTCCTGCTGTTTTTTCTTAATCAAATTGTTTACAATTATCTTAATATATTTTATATTAATCTTTTTAACTTCTATACAAATTTAAAACTTACAAAATACCTATCTTCTTATTAAAATATTATTTTGACTGACTTGTTTTTAACTTAGTTAAGATGATAATTTATAACACAATCGTTTTTCCATCGTTTATAACTAAAGGTATTTCTAGTTGATGGCAGTAAGGAAGTATAAAGTTGTATTTTGTCTTCTATACATTTATTGTACTGAGTAATGTTATGTAAATTGTCTCTATGAATTAGATTATCTTAAATATTTGTTTATATTTATATAATTTATATTAAAAATTTGTTGCACATTCGAATACAATTATAGAAATACTAAGGATAAATTTTATTGTTCAAATGGACTGTGTATCGAATCGCCGCGGGTTTGTGATGGTCATAAGGATTGTTCAGATGGTTCAGATGAGACCAAAGAATCGTGTTCTCAATACAAGTATAGAACAAATATGACCATGGGTAAAAATAATAGTTATTTAAGAAGTTTAATATTTTTTATAATATGTTAGTGTAATAAGTTATACCATATATATGCCAGAGTTAAGCATATTAATCTAAATATGGAACTTCTGCTATTGTTTTAGATTGTGGTAGAGTAAATATAAAAAACCAAGTAATATTAGAAAAAACTGGTGTTGCAATAGTTGGAACAGCCCCTTGGAATGTTGGAATATATAAAGTGAATAAAAAAAAACCCAAATATGAGTTGATATGTCTAGGATCAATCATTGCTCCAAATTTGGTCATTTCTGGTAAAACACTTGTGCAATGTATTTAAGAATGAATAAACATTAATTGAATAACATTTTTAGTGGCTCACTGTTTTTGGAAAGAAGATATGTCATCTAAAAGAATATTAACAGAAGACGGCGAATACAAAATTGCTGTAGGAAAATATGATAGAAATTTTACAATTATTGACAATGACTTTACTCAAATAATCAATGTAAGTTATTAATAATTCAAAACAATAATAAGAATTATAATAATATACTTTAAAACAATTGTACAGGTGGACATTATTCTCCTGAAAGAAGGTTATTCTGGGAGTAGTGGTTTTCATGCTGAAGATATATCTATTATTGTGTTACAAGACAGAGTTTCATTTAGTAACCGTGTTGCACCTGTTTGTATCGACTGGAATAGTAAATTCAATGTAGTCAATGGAAATCAAGGAAAGGTAAATTTTTTTGTACTATACGATTTAATAAATAGGTACATAAAATATAAATTCAATAGACTTCTTGTTTAATTTCTATAAAGTGGTGGGAGATCATGGTTAGTTTATCTATACAAGTTATTACATTTTGGTGATAGCTTCATAACGGTAAACTCAGTATAAATGATGAAAACCAACAGTTAATATTTTAATAAATTACAAATTAAGCTCAAGAACTTAAAATTTGCCCTGTAAATTCCTGTAAAAATGAGGAAGTTGTGTGAGTTTGTCCCTTTAAGTTAAATTACGTCATCACTTTGCTTTGAAGAACGTTCATAATAAAACAAATAACTGAATAATACTTTCAAATTTAGCTCTGTAATTTTGCTAATTTTTCAATTGTAATGTAAACAAAATGATCTAACTTTGCTCCTTTGCACATTCTGAATAGGAGTAATACCTGGTTTATGAGTTCCGTGATTTGTAAGTTTATTTGTTCTCATTGCTGGTGATTGGCATTGGCACTGAAAAAAAAAATTCTGTAAAATCATTAAACACTACCTATTCTTATTTCATATTCGATTCATTTTCAAAATTGAACTTATTACACTTTATTGAACTTTGAATTAGTTGATCTCACCACCAACACATAAACAACAAGATACTAATATTATGCCTTTACTCTAATAAATTGTAAAATATAAAACTGTTTTATACTTTTACAGATTGTTTTTTGGGGAGGAAAAGTAAATGGTGAATATAATCCTGTTTTATTAGAAGCATCTTTACCATACATAGATCGTGAAACTTGTCAGAATATGTATGCAAACGGATTTAAGATATATGTGACTGTTGATAAGTTTTGTGCCGGTTCTGAATTAGGTAATACGATATTTTATCATTAATAACATGAAATCATTGATTTATTTTTAACAAATTTAATTTAAATTTATAAAATATTTAATCTTTAAGGCAGACATTTTGAAATACGAAGATTAACGTAATTTGTATTCAATATAATGTACCTACCTAATCATTGAAACACCAAAAATAATTCGGAATCCAACTAGTATCCTAATTATATCCATAGTACATCCAAAATGTAACTTGGCCAGCACTGTTAAGTTATGGTCTGGTACGATGGCATAACATTATCGTTTTAAGCATGTTCATTGTAAAACCTTATCGACTCAGGTGTAAACATAATTCAGTTTTTTTTAAGAAAACTTGTCTTCGACTCACAAAATAGTAATACTTACCAAAAGTACAATTTAAACATTAAACATATGTTAACGGTCGAAAAGACTTTTTTAAAACAATAGTATAATAGGTACTGCATTATATTATAATGTTAATGGTCATTTATAGTAGACTGCAGTACCAAGTGGTCGATGTGGTTTTATCATACAATTTTTTAGTATTAATTGATTTATTTAATATTGCATAATCCCACTATATACAATTCTCAAATAAGTAACCGATCATAATTGTGGTTTGAAATGCATTGAGCTTATCGGCTAATAGTTACTTTTATTAAAAATTATACTTATGTAGTGTGGAAAGTATGTGGATGACTTAGCAGCACATAACTAAATATTATTATAGTTTAAAAAAAAAAGCCACGTTTTTTATGTAATATTTCATATATCCGTAGAATGTAAAACTTTTTATCTTTAATAAATTATTTGAATCTGTATTATGGTCACTATAGTCACTACCCAATAACAGACGTAAGACTATTGATTAACATTAATTTGTGTCTAATATACTAATATATATTTTATAGTTTCAGGAGAAGGAGTGGGTCAAGGAGATAACGGCGCAAGCTTATGCTTTTTACACTCTAATACTTATTATTTAACAGGATTGGCAAGTACTAAGGATCCAGAAAGAAATAATTCAATCACAGTTTTTACAGATGTTAGGCATCATATTGGATGGATTCGAAGAATGTATAATAAATATAACTGAGCCCAATAACATTATAGTATTATAGTAATATAATTTAAAATAATGTTTTAAAAATAATTAAAATCAATATTTGTAAACACAGGTTACAAATTTTTCTAAAAGTTAGGTAATTTTATAATATTATACTATTTAAATTAAATATTCAAAAAGATCATTTGTCTCCTGCTACTGTAATCATCCATTTCTCAATATAAATTAATAGATATTCTAAATTTATAGAAAATAATATTCTTATTTAAAGAATAAATGTCTTTGTAATTGTTATTATTTCCTAATAAACGGCTAGTTTATACTTTATATTAATATTTTAGTACCTAGCTATTGTTTGATAAAATAAATTTGTGTTCAATGTGTTAATGTTCGCGACTGCGATCGCTTACAGAGTAATGATCATTGTAATTAAAATTGTTATCGATATTTGAAAAATACGTTAATATATCTAAAAATATTTTTAAGTATTCGCTTACATACGTTCATAGCTAAGTTGGGTGGAAAAATTTTCAGTATTGGTTCTGAGGTATTGTTTGCAAATATTGTGAAACGTCAATGAATTTGGAAAGTAGATCCAATGCATAATAATATGCTTTGATATTTGCAGTATTAAATGATAGATTTATATTTTTATACTTAGGATAGTGAATAATTGAAAATTTTTTCTGCAAACTCTACCAACAAAATATACAAACCAAAATTAAAAAATAATCATTTAGAAGTAAATAATTAAAAAATAACTATTCATTTCTTAGGTTTATTAAAATATGTATAAACGTACATGTTTACTTAAAAAATAGCTGCATATTGAAGCTTTTTTTTAGTGCATAATTATGCATATATTTCATTATTATTTAGAGCATAAAGTTCCGAGCCCAGAATTCATTACCATTGTTCTAAAATTCTGTGCCATGACTACGCCGATCGGCTGTGATGACATACAATTATAGAATAAATTATTTTAAAAACCCGTCAAAACTGTGATAAGATAGACATTTTAGACAGTTACCAACTATATTTTTAATAATTTGTACGGTTCAAGTTATTCGTATACGAATCCGTCGTACTTTTCGAGAATAGGCCTTACCCTGGTTATATTCAAGTATCGTGTTTCATGATTCTTCAATTTTTTTTTTACAAAGCAACATTCTACACGCTACATTTCCACTTAAATTTGCATACCTTGTGATTTTAGTAAAATGTTGTCTAGAGTCTGGGCATTTCATACTTTCATTACAACATTATAAGTCTAGTTTTCGAAGTACTCATACACTATTATACTGATTTTGGAGAGTGCCTTATTTTGTATATTTTATAAGTCACAGTTTGAGACATATGTAATCTATATCTTGTATCTATGACTATATCAACAACTTTTTATACGGATATACCTATTATGATTGCCAGAATTACTTATCATACAGTATTAGACATAATAGAGTTGCTTATGACATTCTCTTTTTTAAGGTTTGTAGGTTTTATTTTATAATATATGAATAGTAATTTCTATTTATGTTATTACTTATTTAGCAATTTTCAATTGTTTCATTAATTTTTTTTGTCTCTTGGTTTTCAGCCAAGTATACTGCATCATTCTCATCGCAATGTACATTACCTATGTAACAGTTAAAACTTTAGTTCTAAGGTCTATACATGGTACACAACTTTAAATTCTCAGTGTAGAAAAATTATTCAAATGTGTCCTCAAATGAATTCGCTGAACCTCCGTGTTTCAGAAAACATACATCCAATCCTTGAATAATTTGGAACAAATTTTAGTTACCGGGAATATAATAAGATAAAGCATATAATATGAATAGTAAAGTAAAATTTATTGGGCATTTGGTATAGCCAAGCATAGGTAAAAGTGGGAGAAAATTAAAATAAAATATAAGAACACAATATATTATATAATATGATAAAAATATTTGTCGCCTAAATCATTGTTAGATGTAATGTTTGTTAGTTAAAATGCTTTCGGCCGTAACATAAAACAAAATTTAAAATTATTTGCTTGGTTGTTGGTTAAGTATGTAGAATATACAAATAATTAAATAACAAATATATACAGCAATACAAATTATCAACTATTATTGGTGGGTGGGTGTGCCATTTTAAGAGAAATTGAATTTGTGAATATTCAACTTCGAGATAAAATACTACTCCGATTAATTGGCCAGTAATTATTCTATAATCTTTCATAATAACGTCTAGCATTGCTAACATGCTAACCAACTCAGATTTAGATAAGATGTATTTTGCATTCAATGATTTTCATCATATTGTATTAATTATACGTAACAACCAATAAGCGAATGAAAGAAAAAAAAATGTGAACGGAGGCATGGGCACCCGCGGACAACTGAATTTCAAGAATCGAAATAAAAAAAAAAATATGAAAAAATTTATATTAAAAATAAATATTAAAGTCTGCAGTCTACAATATCACTATTCCTAAACTCATAGTTTTATTTACAAAAATTATATCATGAAATAATGAATATTTATGAGGCACTAACTGACCATCAAAAATTAAAAAATTGATATTGAAATAATTGAAAAAGAGTTTAATTATGGAAAAAAAAATTTGAGGGGAGGCATGGGCGCTCGCGAGCAAATGAATTTTAAGAATCAAATTACAAAAAAATCTAAAAAAATGTGTTTTAAAAATAAATAGTTAAATCTGCAGTCTACAATATCACTATTCCTAAACTCATAGTTTTATTTACAATAATAAGCTAATGAAATAATGCATTTTTATGTGGCACTGACTGACCATCAAAAATTACAAAAACGGTTTTGAAATAATTGAAATGGAGTTTAATTTTCAAAAAAAAAAAGTGAGGAAGGCATGGGCGCCCGCGGGCAAAAGATTTTTAAGAATCAAAATAAAAAAAATATGAAAAATGTGTATTGTAAATTAATGTTAAAGTCTGCAGTCTACAATATCATTATTCCTAAACTCAGTCTTATTTACAAAAATTAGATCATGAAATAATGAATATTTATGAGGCACTAACTGGCCATCATAAATTAAAAAACGGTTTTTCCATAATTCAACTAGAGTCAAATTATAAAAAAAAAATGGGAAGGGTGCTTGGGCAACCGCAGGCAAATAAGTTTAAGAAATCAAATAAAAAAAATTATACAAAAAATTGTTGAAATCTAAAATTTAAAAATAAAAACGAGAAGAGGGGCATGGGCGCCCGCGGAAAAAAGATTTTTAAGAATCATAATAAAAAAAATATGAAAAAATTTGTGATAATAATTAAAATTACAGTATGCAGTCTACAATATCACTATTCCCAAAATCATAGTTATATTTACAATATTTAAGTCATAAAATAATGAATATTTATCAGGCACTAATTGGCCTTTATAACTTAAAAAAAGGTATTGAAAAAATTGAACTGGAGTTAAAATTATGGACGAAAAATGTGAAGAGAGGCATGGGTGCCCGCAGGCAAAAGATTTTTAAGAATCAAAATAAAAAAAAATATGAAAAATGTGTATTAAAAATGAATATTAAAGTCTGCATTCTACAATATGACTATTCCAAAACTCATAGTATCATTTACATTAATAAACTAATGAAAAAATGAATGTTTATGGGGCACTAACCGTAAATCAAAAATTAAAAAATGGTTTTGAAATTATTGAACTAGAGTTTAACTATAGAAAAAAAATGTGAAGAGAGGCATGTGGGCCCGCAGGCAAATGAGTTTAAACAATCAAATAAAAAAAATTGATAAAATTTTAAATTTAAAAATAAAAATGGGAAGAGGGGCAAGGGCGCCCGCAGGCAAAAGATTTTTAAGAATTAAAATAAAAAAATATGAAAAAATGTGTATTAAAAATTATTATCAAAGTCTGCAGACTACAATATCACTATTCCTAAACTCATAGTATTATTTACAATAATAAGCTAATGAAAAAATGAATGTTTATGAGGCACTGACTGACAATCAAAAATTAAAAAACGGTTTGGAAATAATTGAACTAGAGTTTAATTTTCAAAAAAAAAAATATAAAGGGATTCATGGGCGCCCGCGGGCAAGTGAATTTTAAGAATCAAAATAAAAAAAATATGAAAAAATGTGTATTAAAAATAAATATAAGTCTGCAGTCTACAATATTATTATTCCTAAACTCATTGTATTATTTACATTAATTAGATCATGAAATAATGAATATTTATGAGGCTCTATCTTAACATCAAAATTAAAAAAATGATTTTGAAATAATGTAAGTACAGTTATATTATGGAAAAAAAATGTGAAAGGATGCGTGGGCATCCGCAGGCAAAAGATTTTTAAGAATTAAAATAAAAAAAATATGAAAAAATGTGTATTAAAAATTATTATCAAAGTGTTGCAGTCTACAATATCACTATTCCTAAACTCATAGTATTCTTTACAATAATAAGCTAGTGAAAAAATGAATGTTTATGAGGCACTGACTGACCATCAAAAATTAAAAAAAATGATTTTGAAATAATGTAAGTACAGTTATATTATGGAAAAAAAATGTGAAAGGATGCGTGGGCATCCGCAGGCAAAAGATTTTTAAGAATTAAAATAAAAAAAATATGAAAAAATGTGTATTAAAAATTATTATCAAAGTGTTGCAGTCTACAATATCACTATTCCTAAACTCATAGTATTCTTTACAATAATAAGCTAGTGAAAAAATGAATGTTTATGAGGCACTGACTGACCATCAAAAATTAAAAAAAATGATTTTGAAATAATGTAAGTACAGTTATATTATGGAAAAAAAATGTGAAAGGATGCGTGGGCATCCGCAGGCAAAAGATTTTTAAGAATTAAAATAAAAAAAATATGAAAAAATGTGTATTAAAAATTATTATCAAAGTGTTGCAGTCTACAATATCACTATTCCTAAACTCATAGTATTCTTTACAATAATAAGCTAGTGAAAAAATGAATGTTTATGAGGCACTGACTGACCATCAAAAATTAAAAAAAATGATTTTGAAATAATGTAAGTAC